ACTGCAACGGCTTCTGGGCCGGCTACTACATCTGCGTCAAGACCAAGAGCTTCACACCGACACCGACGCCGACAACCAGCAGCCCGCCCACGTCGACGGGCCCGACGGCGCCCGGCCCCACGCAGTCGGGCATCACAAAGGACTGCCGCGACTGGTACGTCGCCAAGTCGGGCGACTACTGCGACAAGATTGTGCAGGGCTACTCCAACCTTGACAAGGACACGTTTATCCAGTGGAACCCGGCCGTGGGCAAGGACTGCTCCTCCATCTGGGTAAAGTACGCCTACTGTGTCGGTAAGAAGAGTTCTCCCTCTCATTTTTTGTGCCAACTCGTTCCCTGTTTAATGTGACTCACCTAATGCAATCATCATCGGTACAGGAACCAAGAGTAAACCCGCCAAGCCGGTTACGCCGCCGACAGAGTGTGCGACGCCTCATCCCACGCCCACGCAACCTGGCGCCATTTGCAAGTGCAAAAAGTGGCATCTCGTAAAGGACGGCGACAACTGCTGGGCGCTCAGCCAAAAGTACAACATCTCCGAGGATGACATCAAAAAGTGGAATCCCGGCACTCAATGTAACCTCTGGGCCAAGTACAATGTCTGTGTTGGAGCCTAGTCGCGTTACAAGCGCTCCAAGGAGCGTACAAATTCAGACTTGCGGGCAGGCACGCGCCTCACGGTTCAAACATGATTCATTATTACATCTCTCGTGTCTAGTGACTCTGAATACAATAATACCGACTCCTCAAGTATGCCTCACAGCTTCATGTAGACAGCCTCTGCCCGTCGTGACACTGCATACCATTAATGCATCCTGCGCAATTCCTCAATCATGTTCCGCACGTCTTCCACGTTGAGACCCAGATCCTGGCAGAGCGCAGCCTGGGTTTGCTTACGCAGGTCGAGAAATCTTTCCACCATTTCGCCATCAACAAATCGGAATGGACCATCTGCTTCTCGAGCCTGGTTGCGGAAAGCCCTCCATGCGTCGAAACTTATGCCTCCAGTCGTCTTGACATACTTCTCTATGGTTGTCTGAAGGGTAATGAGCAGGTCTTGGTACTTTGGTGCGATATCGCCGTAGAGATATAGCGTGCCCTCAATCTACAAAAGATCCGTCGTTAGTGTCAGATTATGGCCACCAGGACAGGTAACTTACCGAAGCAAGGAACGCCTTTGGCGATACGACGACATTGTCTGCTGGTGCTACATTCAGTCTTTGAATCTTGTTGATTTGCTCGCCAAGATTCATCTCGCTGGTGATTTCGAGACGGCTACGGTCATGCTCAGTTGGTGCGTCTGGGTTCCGAGCCAGCACAATGATGTTGCCCTGAGCATCCGTCTCCAACCACCGTTCACCACCCAGATGGCATACAGAAGTAGCCCACGCCGACTGGAAGTGCCTAGCCTTTTCCTCGAGTTTGCCAGGCTCTCCATCCTTTGGCGGTGTAAATTCCACCAAGGATAACGATTGCATAATGTCAGCAACACCAATCATGTTTCCGGAGATGTCGAGTGCCACTGGAAAAGAAGCTGGGCGATATGCTGCAAGCTTTTGCAGGTAGCCCTCCGTGCTATTTTCTTCCGTATAGCTGTAGACGACGACAGTCTTGGCAAGACAAGCCACAATGTACTCATCTAGGATACCCAAGCAGCGGCATGCGCCTTTAAGATTATGAGACACAATCGTGTACAGCTGGCGTTTCTCATCTACTCCCAGGACGAGTATGCGACCACGTGTCTCACCGGCTTCGCCAACCTCTGCGTCATTGACAAAGCTCGTTCCCACGACGAAGCGTTCAACAAGAGCACCAGTGGGATCAGGAAGTTCAGCGCGGATAACACTTTCAACCATCTCGAGTGTGCTAGAAGCGGCAAGGGGGAGCGGAGTGCCCAACTCCTGGAACATGATTTCGTCGACCAACTTGACGGAGCTTGTGATGACTTCTGCGTTTTGAATGAGATCCTTCTTTATACACCCGAGAGCGAACGCCTTTGCGCCGGGAGCGTACGCAACACGTCGGACGGTCTCATGTACTGGTAGTGACTTGACGTGGGTGAGACGCTCTTTATCGACGCGGCAGATACGGACGTTCTTGTCAGTGGAGACAAGTATGCAATGAGGAAAACCGTAGCTGTCAAACGGCACCACACAGGTGGCATTATCGGCAGTCGTGGCCGAGTAAACCAGACGGCCTTCGGAGCTGTATATCAGACTGGAATGTTCAGTAGTGGCAAATATGCTGCTTGTACCGTCGCTAGTGTCGTCGGGTTCAGGCAGGATATGTAGACGCGCAGGGCTGCTCCCGAGCGTGACAGTCTTTTTGCCAGACAATTCGAGATTTTCAACAGAGACGTCAAAGCTGGTAACCGTACCATCCTCCAGCGCAACCAGAAGGGTTGGGCCCGAAATATCTGGCGGGTGAAGCTGGACTAGAGCAATATCGCGGGGTACTGAAGCGGCATCCATCGTTTGCTGAAGGTTTTCGCCATGCTTGGCGTTGAGTGTAGCAAGATCCACGATTGTAATCTTGCCAGAGTTCCACCATCCAACGACGCCAAAGTCCATCACGTCTGGTGAAGCATGTAGACAGGATACCTGATCAGACTGACTCGGGTCGGTGCCTTGGTAGCGTTGCACACAAGCTTCTAGATTCTTTTCGATGTTCAATGAGACAATTGTAGTTCCGTCTATGCAGAGCAATACCCATTTGTCGTTGTATGAGGCAGAAGTAATTTCTCCCTCACTCTCGTTTACCCATGACTTCGTCTTTACCCAAGAATCTATCTCCGGGCGATCGTCGAAATGGAATATCGCCACATCTGTTCTCGTTACTTGAAGCAAATCATATCCCGGCAAGGTGGCCGCGATCAGCGTCTCAACTTCGAGATTCAAGCCACACCAGTCATATAATTCTTCGACCTCATCTTCCAACATCAGGAAGATGCGGGTTTCTGTGACAAAAGAAGCAACCAGTACGTCGACCAATCTCGACCCGCGAGACTTGATCATGAATAGTCCTCTCGTGTTCTCAAGTTCGTCGAGTATAACGCAATCTTCAAGCCCAACGCCACTTCGGATGCTGCGCAGTGACCCATCCCTGTAGGCACCGCAGCCAGCAACAATCCTGGTTTGGCCAGACGAAAATACGTTGCCTTGGTGGTTGTCACCGTCTCTGTTGCCCATGTCCATAATCGCAAAATCTAGTATTGGGCCGTTGTTAGAGAGACTCTTGATGATATACAAGGTCCGAGAGTCGAGATCGATCCGTAAAAGCTGCGAGTTGCCATGGTGGGAGGCGAGGAAGAGCATGCCATCGCCCATGTAGACAAGATTCGATGCTCGAGAAATCAGCTCTCTGGAATCTGAAATTTTGAGAGGCTCGACAGTCATGCCAGTAACAATGACTCCTTTTGGCTCTGTATACGTTTTTAGCGTCATCAAGTCGAGGCGTCCGTAGTCGTCGGCGAGAAAGTAGTGTGTATCGTCATACATGGCCCAGGCGACGTATATTTTCGGCTCATCCAACGCCGACGACACGCTAGAGTATGTCAAACTATCAAAGTATGTTAACAAAGTCTCGCCGACGACCAGCAGACCTCCCAAGTGTGCTCTTGTGCCCTCTGTATTTCGAACGTGGTATCGCTTTTCTTCAGCAACGGGGACAGGAATCAGCATTGACGCATATGGGTCGGCAATGACTTGGTCAAGCTCCCGATCTTTATGCGGATCAAATTTGGAGACATCGGTGCCCTTATCGTCTGTTGTCAGCCTATATACAGCGACACGAGCTTCCTCCTGATCAAGCTGTGTCTTGTAAAGAAAAGCGATGCGTGGGTGGCCGGTACGACTGTGGATGAAGGCACTGTCTTTCATCCACAGCTCTGTAAGACGAATCTGTTCCATCTTTTTGAGCTTTTTGGATGCACGGGGAGTGTTTGGCAGCCGGAATATGTTGAGCACGCCTTCCCAAAGATGCATCACCATGTATTTGGCCGTGGGGTCCACGAGGCACTTGTTCTGGCTTTGCGATTCACGCATATACGGCTCGGCCATGTCGTGAATCGTCTCATTGGTAAGAACCATTTCGTTGCTTTTGGGGTTCCAGGATACGTTGAAGTATTGCAGCCGCTCGGTGCCGACAAACAGGAGATCTGTGGTGGCATCTCTCGGCCGTAAACGCTGCAACATGCATATCGTGCCGTGAACGACTTTTGTGTGCAGGCAAGTCATGCCCTCTTGTGTGACGCGCCATATCTCGAGTCGATTCGCCTTGCTAATAGGGACGCTGGTTAGCACTCGAGCTGAGGGTAGATTGCCAGTGCAGGGCATCGACGTGGCGCGGGCAGAAGAGCACGTACGCGACAATCAAATCTTCGTGGTCTGGCGATCTGAACTGGAGTCGGACCGCATGGCGAATGCTCGTGGGTAGATGCACTGGCGCTATGTATGCCATGGTGAAGGTGAGATGGCTCAATCGTGTGTTTGAGGCGAGAGGTAGGCTCTGACAGAGCTTCTCAAGAAGAGCTGCAGCAAAGGAAGTGCGTCACTAACCAAAGCCCTTGCCAAGTTAACCAAGGTAGCAGGCATTTTTAGCGCTTGCTCGCCGGCCAGTGGTGGGGTGCCGGAGTTTAGAACTGGCGACTTGATACCCTCAGACAAAATCCGAACACGACGGCATGGCATGAAAAAGTGCTAATTAGGGAAATAATTTAGGCATTTTTTTTGTGTGCCTCTGTCTTAATTTTTTCAAGTCATTATGTGCTTCGTTGTGTCATGGAAACCTTGACGGTCCTCAGTGCATTGCGGAACACTCACAGCGACAGATCGTGGACTTTTTTGTATCGACAGAACGGCAATCTTTCATTCGCACCTGGGCTCAAATATTCAAATTTCGACAATCGAAGAACCGAAAGCATGTTGGAAAGTTCTACAATGAATATCAGTGAAGAGTCTGCCTTACAATATGCCCAAAGGCACGGCCTGTTCCATAGCCACAGGCATGATGCGTTTTCGCCGCAAAGCTGCTTGACCGGCATTAAATGCCCTCTTGACGATCATGTCTCCATATTTCATCAAGATGAATCTCTTTTGCATGAATTGGAAATACCGAATACTGTGTCAGATATTGATCAAGAGCTATTGAAAGAAGATGCACAAGAAAAGCTCCTAACCACTGCGCAAACAACATCACCGTTTTCCTACCGATCAGGCACACTGCATGACTTGCTACTTGAGCTTCCAGTCATGACACCAGATTCGTCAATTCACACTGACGTCTTCTTACGGGCCATCGGAATTTTCCCCATCAATCGTCTCGCCGAACAGTATTTACCTCTCATCTCAGTGGACCCAAGAAGAGACCAAGGTCTAGACTTTCCTCCTCACGCCGACAGACTACACCAAGCACTGCTATACAAGGTAAACAATGAACGGATCATGGCTCCGAAAAATCTCGGATACCTGTACCAAGATGATTTCGATACGAAAGCGAATGTGAGATTTTACTGCAGCTTCCTGTCCGCCTTGTCCTGACCCTCACTAGGTGTTTTCCATTTGCGAGACTGCGATTACACCACCACCATCGCCAATACTCAATATCAATAATACACTCTCGGCAAGTGGTTCTGATACAAACAGTCTCCACGACGAGAACCGTCTGAGGAATACAGGGCCACCATCAGATGCTGCGAAACAGCAGGACACCATAGAGGTATCTGACAGAAATGACACTGACCAGCAAGCCTCTCAACAACAGACCAGGGCTACATGTCCAGAAACCAGTTTTCGGAAGAAAACGGCAAATGTAGTTGGATCTGCTCAAGTAAAAGACACCGACCATGGGAAGGGAACATTCCCGCTCGAGATTGACGTAGACATGAATGCGGGCGGCTCCTTCTTTGAGGATACCCTGTTCGTCTCCAGCGAGCACTATCAGGACGAAGACATTGAAGTGGAGAGCATGGCCTCAATTCTGGACCAAATCGACAGCCTCTTGATGCCACTCCCCAATGTACCACCTTCCAATCTGAGCTACATCACTTCAGAGAAACCAAGACTCTTCAGCGCCCTCGAATGGGAGCACCACAAACATCTACCCCCTCTGCCACTCGATTTAGCCCTAGAGGAAGCGCTCCCATGGGCACCTCTTCCTCCTCGACGCCGCGGGCAATTTGAATTCGAGGCCCTTGTAGAGCCTTGCGAGCACACTGCGTCAGAAGAGCAGGACCGTCAAATTCACATCGGAAGTATCGGAAACATCAAAGACGGCGAAATTGAAGAGTGCTCCGCACCAGAAGAAGCTGCCAAGCCACAACCGCCGCCGACGAACGCGCTTGACTCGCTAATAAAGCTACGACTGCAGAGAAGCGCATCCGAGCGCGCGCCACAATCAACGGCCAACGTATCGTCGATGCAGTCACAAGACATCAAGCCCATGTTGCCAAAGGTGGACGACCCGGGCGCAACGTCCATGCTAGTATCGGCATTCATGAGCCTTCGAGGCGTCAAAGCTCCGCGTTCGAATCGAAAATGATTTCGCGAGCCACACCAATGTAAAATGAATTGCATTCTCGGACAGTGTACACACTCTATATTTGTATACCAAACGTCTTTCGATGCAAAATCTTGAAAATGCAAAAAAAAGAGCCGTGTATCTCCGTGTATATAAACGATCTAGAGCACAATAAAATAGACGAGAAGAAGACAAGACTGGAATCTTGTACCTTTGTCTTTCAGCAAAGTTCCCACAGCGGCCGTGGCATCGTAGACAGCGCCGGCGCCATCTGCTGGGTCTGCTTAAGCCCAACATACACGACCTTTTGTGACGATCCGCCCACCAGCACGGACCGCGACGCCAGGCCGTAGTAGTCGGAAATCGAATGCGTCAGCCAGCGCTTAAACGCGGCGCTCTCGTCGTCCCCAAGCTCGTCAAACACAACGCCGCCGCGCGTGTCTCTGCGCGCCGCGCGCGTCTTCTTCTCCCTGAGTTCGCGCATCGCGTCCGCGCGGCCCGCAAACACAATCTCCTCCTCATCCGAGTCCAGCGCCTCATCCTCGCCCTCGTCCTCCTCCTCTGCACTGCTGCCGCTTGACAAGTGCTCGTGCACGAACCGCCGCACCGGCTCCTCGAGCGCGCGCACCCATCCGCGGACGGCCGGAGACCGCTTGGCCGACTCACGCAGGTCGCGCGGGACCTCGCCGACGCCGAGACCGGTGGCGCTGCCGCTGAGCAGCTGCTGCTTCTTGCGGGCGGCTTGCAGGCGGCGCGTCTGCTCGCCGACGCGCTCGCGCACGCCGCGGTCCCAGTACTGCGCCACCTGGTACGGCACGACGTGGATGGGGTGCGTGGGCTGGACGTGCCAGTCGGACGGCTGCGGCGGCTGCGCATTGGGAACGCCAATCAGACGGTCTATCCTAGTGTTAGCAGACAAGACTGACGCCTCTTCTGGTCTTCTACGGCAGAGACGCCATATAGATTGGGAGCGACAAGAACAGCGTACCATTTTCCCATCGGCGACGCTGGCGGCTGCCTTCCTTGCCCTTGAGAAGTGCCTCTCGCCGCGCCATGCTGTCTCGTCGTGAGGGCGGCCGCCGCGGCGCGGCCGAGGCAAGTTCATCGGCATCAAATTTCACGGCGCGGGCAGCACCAGTCGTCTTGGACGCGGTCGCCGCGCGGGGTTTGTGGAAAACAAGCTCGTCGATCGGGATAGACAGCGGCGAGCCAGTGCCACGAGCAATTGGGGAGACACTGAGCGACTGCAGCGCCGATATCGTCCACGCGTCAATGTCGATGCCGGTATGGCTCGCCGAGGGCGTTGGCGCAGCATGCTGCATGGAAGAGGGGCTGCCGATGGCCATGACTCTGTAGAGGGGTCCGAGTACGAGGGCTTTTGGATCGATTTGGTTGCGAGTCTGGTAGCGGCACTAGTATGACGAGGAACAATACCGGCTCAGCAGGAGCTACGCGTTTTGTACAAGCAATGTCTAGGCTGCGATATGGATGTAGATTGAAAGTAGTAAATGCCGAGAGGGCTTAAAGCTGGGGAAATGGCTATATGACTCCATTGTCGTGATGCGCGTGCCTACGCTATTCTCGTGCGGCCAATCAGCGGGTTAGCGCAAGGCATGAGGAGGGCATTAGTGGACCACACTTTAACGAGGCGTCGGAAGCCAACAGGGTTCATGCGCGCTATCTGCGGACAGCTGGGATCCCCTTTAGATAGCGATTGCGTCTCTGAAATTGCCCAGCATTGACGCGTACTTGTGCTGTTTCTTGTGGCCACGGCAGCCTGTAACAGAAGGTATGCCACTGGCTGGCTAATTTGCACGAGTGAATACAACGACTGAATGACAAAGGGGTTCGAAGCAGGTTTCAGTCAGCAAGCAACGCCGAAAGGAGCATCCATTCTAAGCTAAAATAAACTAACAATGAAAAGAATCCATGATGCGCCATATGCATACAACCCATTTTAGTGGTGATTTGACGACTAGTAGTTCTTGTGGGGATTGCCGATACCGCCTGGTTTTAACAAAGGCTGACTCTCCCTCGCAATAGCCCGTTCTTCGCGATCCTGAATATGCTCCAAGTCTTCTTCGGTTTCCGCGTAGCGTTCTGGGTGGCCAGTAAAAGGACCTGGTAGACCGCGCTCCCAACCTTCAGAGTATGTGCGATTAGCAATAGGTCTTTGCTGGTTGGAGTGCTCAACAGGAGAGTCGGGTTCATTGATGAGAGGAGCGCTCTCAGACTCCATAGCTTGTTCACGAAGGCGAGCAACTTCGTAGTAGACACACATGAAGAGTACGGATCCCTGCATGGCTGCAGTCAGCAAGTAAATAGCCCACGTACTCCAACCCGCAGAACCCAGGCGCATGTACAGGCTAGCAGCAAACAGTAAGCCGCCGGGTGTCTGTATACACATCATGGGGATACTCAAGCTGCCAGCATGTTTTAGATGGTAGGTTGTCCAGATTTGTGGCACATATTGCACGGCGGCCAAGGCTGCAGCCATGACGCCAAGCAAATGGGCCCAGAAGTTGAGGTGTTGAGGCATGGCGATGGCGAATATGCCAGTAATGATGATGGTAATAAGACCGTGAAGAAAGGCAAGAAGTCCAACTGCCGCAGCGGTTTGCCACTTTGGCGACTCGCCGGCAAGTTCGTCTTGCGGAACTACAGCATCGTCGTAGCGGAAGAACATGAGGAAAAGCACGAGTCTGGACACACGTCAGCAGTCAGCAATGCAAGCATCGAGAATATCATGTCCATACATGAGACTAAAGCAAAGCCATTGCCCGCCGAGTTGTACGATTCCAAGCATAGCAGCTGCGCATTCAAGAGGCTCGATTTCTTTGCAGCAGCTCATGGCGGTACGCGAGGGGGGGACAGTCAAAATATTTGCGAATCCGGCAGTCGCCGACGTAGTACCGAGAAGCACAAAATATGGCGAAATGCCCTCTGCTGTACGTCGTGATATGATTCGATAATGCTGTGGAAGATAGGAGACGAGAAGCCCGAGGAGGATCAATCTGTTGTTGGAAAAGCGTCAGCAAGGGGCAGCAAGAGGGTCATGGGGTCGGGAAAGACGACAAACATTGAAATGACGACCTCGAGATATCTGGGTGTGCGAAAGGCATCGCAGCGCGAGGCGGCATCATCTAACAAGTCCATGTCTGCAGCAGAGGCGACAGGACGCCTTGATATGCAGAAAAGGGGGTGAAGGTGTCGAGGCAGCAGGTCTGGCGGACGAGCTGTACGATGCAATCTGGATCCGGGCCGCCCGTCAGCAAGCGGCGATCGAGTTCGGGACTAGCAAGCGGCTGGCGGCAACGTTTCCGAGTCGGAGATAAGCGTCTGCTAGATGAAGATGTGTGATTGTTCGCCGGCGTCGATGCTCAACATCCGATATAGATGGATGGCGTGAGAAGATGTGGATGGCGTGAAGAGACGTCGGAAAGAATGTAGGTACAGAGGCGAAAGAGGCTGTGAGAGCAGTGGAGCCGACGAGAAGCTACGTGGGATGCAGCAAACAACAACAGGCAGGCAGGCAATTGAGTTGTATGTGTGGAGGCTGTTATCACATCAGACAGGCGGAGGAATGAGAGGGACCTTGGGGCCTTGAGTCAAGAGTCAACGAGCCGGCTCGACTTGGCCAAAGCAGCCAAGGCTGAAGCTGTGGCTGGGTACGCAGAATGAGGGCGGAGCTTGGGCCAGCGCACATATTATCAGGCACAAATGACGTACCTCCTGAGTACCAAGGTACATTTTTTACAATGATAATCACGAGCAGCAATCTGGGGTGATTTGCTCACAATCACGCGAGGTCCACTGTAAATTACAGCCACTGAAATCCCCCAGAACAGTTTCCTCGAGTGGAATTGCAGTGCTGTCCAGTGTCCACTCAACGGGAGTACCCCACACCGCATGTGGGCTCTTTTATGGAGTCGGTTGAATCAAAGTCAAACCTCGAAAATCTGCAAACAGCTGCTCGTTGCCTATCTCGACAACCCCAGCTTCGAACCCCCACAACCATGGCTCGATGCTACCCATCGTCATGAGTCCTGGCCCGCATGGCATAACTAGATCTCATCAAACTATAACACCTTGAAACATATCGTTCTCTGCTGGATATGGGCTCCAGCCCGCAATCACCACATGTGCCACCTCCACACATGGGCACGCCCTCATTCGCTGCTTTGATTGCACAGCGTGCTGCCAATTCAGACACTACCGAAGAAAACAGCTTTTTTTATTCTTCCGCCCAGTGGACAGCCGACGGCACAACTCTCATAGTCAGCTCATCCGACAGCAAAGTCTCAGCTTTTGTCCTGTCATCCAACCTCTTGGAAGCCGATGCCGTTCAGACACTGCACCCCCAAGCTCGTATCCAGCTACCAGAGCCCACACAATGCATTGTTTCCGCTCCGTACTTTTCGCTGTCCAATCCGGCGACACAGACCTTTCTCGTCGGCAGCCGTGACCACCCGCTTCATCTATATCATGCTTTCCCCACGGGGTCAGAAAAGCCTGCGCCACTGTGCATGTACAAGCTCATGAGACATGAAACGGAAGCCTACATCACGCCATCCTCAATGCTTTGGCCAAGTCCAGGAACCCATTTCTTCTGCGGCTCTGCAAACCGCATAGACTACTTTGATGCTTCGCGCCCTGGCTCCGACGGCCCTGTCCACACCCTTCACACCATACCATCCAAAAGACATCTCTTGAAAGGCGGCGGCGTGGGGATGAAGGGTACAGTCTCTGCACTGGCCGACTCACCCCTCGATGCTCCCGGCGGCGGCATTATAGCTGCTGGCACCTGGACACGTTGGATGGGTCTGTACGACATGCTCCGCGTTGACAAGGCTGTTGCCAACTGGAGCATCGCGGGCGCCGACATGCAAGAATTCGGCACGACATTTGGGGGCCAAGGCATTGTTCAAACACGGTGGAGTCCATGCGGGAGATATCTTGTCATCAACGAACGGCACGCGTCAGGCTTTCTCGTCTACGACATTCGCGGCAACGGCAAGCTCCTAAGCGTTTTGGCCGGGCGCGACTGTCAGACACAGCAACGACTGACATGCGATACTTTCGGGAGCGCCAAGGATGGCCCTGGATTCGAGCTCTGGGCCGGTACCGAATCCGGGTCAGTCAAGGTCTGGGACCAAGTTGGCTTGCACTACGGCGTTGTCGAGCCCAAATGGGACTGGGATGCACATAAAGCGCCGATAAGCAGCACCATTGTCCACCCAAGTGGCTCTGTGGTTGCCACGTGCGCTGGTGCTTGGCGACACCCTTCAGACAGCGACGTTGACGGCACTCACGGTGGCTCGAACGGCGGCAAGGTCAAGACCAAGATACTTGACGGTTCAGCCATTAACCTGTGGTCTATCACCAGTCAGCAAGAACCAGGATAGTGCCAAGCTATTCGTTTCGACAGCGTCCTTTCTGCAAATCAAGTCAAAGGAAAAGTGCAAAGATAAAATTTGGCAGAGAATAGACATTAAGCGCTACGCTAAACTCCCAGCTATCTAAGCTATTGCACTAAGGGGGCAATCATGCAATTAAGTATGAAGCCATCCGCCACGGACATGAAGTGCACATCGAGATTGCATCCAATGTTTGTTGTTGTTTCGGCTTTCCATGTCGCTGCCACCCCGCCGCAGTCTGCAAATTGCCAATGTAGAGATAAAACAGAAAAGTAGAAAAGAAAGTAAGCAAAAAAGAAAGCATAAAAGAGGAATTGAGAGTGCATCTTGTGTCGTGTTGGCTAAAAGAAGGTCGAGGAAAGGGTAAAAGAGAGAGAGAAAGGAAACGATATAGTCAGACGCAGCCTGACCGTGCTATGTTTGTCAAGTCCAGCCTGCGGGTATTATTTGCGTTTTTTTTTTTTTTGGTGTATCAATGATTTCAGCTCCAAGACGGCGTATACACAGCTCGTCGCCTCAATCCTCCGTTGCTCAGGATCGAGCGAAATTTCGGGTGCGGCCACCGCCAGTCTGCTGCCAGAATGGACGCTCACCACCACGGCGAGGCATGCTTCCAGTGTCCACCGGCGAAAAGTTTTCAATATTATTGGTAGGTGCAAGAGGGCTCTTGTGTGTTAGGGGAGTCTGGTCAGTGTCCATGTCGGTTTTAGCGCCACCAATGATGCCGCCCTTTGCAGTAGGAGGAATAGGCCATGATTCTGCGTCTTGATGCTGAGGCTCAGATCCGGGAGGCTTGGGCGCCGGTCGCGTGTCAGTCAAGTCATCGTTACTGTCCAAGTCATTCTCCGGGCTGGCCAGCGGGCGGCTGTGGATAGTTAGCAAAGAGCATCATGTTGAAATTCAAGCAGCTTGCCTAATAAATTTGGGCTCCTCTTCCGACTGGGGAGACTCGGGTGTCCGGTTACGGCGCCAAAGGAAGATACCCAGGGCCAGCAAAATAGTGATAGCCGCGAGACCGCCAACAACGCCACCAACAATGGCACTCTTATTGTCGGCTTCTCCTTCTTCATCAGTCGAATCATCAGTGGGCTCACTATTGCGGCCCGAGGTGCTACTAGGGCTGTTGCCAACACTGCTAGTGACCGAGGTCAGAGTCGTAGTAGGACGCAGAGAAACGGAAACGGTTGTGATAGCTATAGGAGCTTCGCCCGAGGCTGTGAGAACAACCGTGGTAGCCATATCAGAGGCTGAGCCGCAACCGTATTGGAAGTATCCGCCTTCAAAGGTATTTTTATAGCAAAAGTTTCCAACGCCGCAACTATAAATGTGAGGGTCAACGACGCCGTGCCCAGGTTTGTTTTCGTCAATGCAGTCGGTGAAGATGCCTTTAGTACAGTCACCCTTGTCGGGACAGCAGCCGATAGCTTTGTTCTGAGCGTCGACGACACAATGGGAACCCGCCATACAGGTCGCGGGCAAATCGGGGTTGCCTCCTATGTAACCACAAATGGTATTGAAATCGCGGCGGGCGAGCTGGGCGGGAAGTGTAGGCTCGATGGGCCAAGATAGGATATCCATTGTTCTAGTCGGTCGTACTGTCTGTCGAGGAAGGGCGTGCCCAGAGATGGGAGCAATCATGACAGACGAGGCGAGCAGAGTAGCCGCGACGATGCTTGGGCACCGGCGCGAATGTGGTTGACGAGGTGACATAGTGGTGTAGGTGATATCGTTGCAAAGCAACTGAATGTTGATGTGATGTCGACTTGTTCTTGCGGAAACCCAGAAGGTGAGAAGGAGAAAATCGCGGCGTTTGCTGGTTTGTGTGTTTGAGTTGTGCGTGCCCTTGCCGTCAAGGCAGGCAAGTGATACAAATGGCAGCCGATAGCCAAGGATGCAGAGTCTGCGATGGAGCAAAAGCTCGCCAATGATGCAAAAATAACGACGTTTTCTGCAGCAAGGCAGTAGAAAAGCACAAGTGTAAATGAGCGATACAGCAGTGGGATACTACAGAGCCATTTGGGTGGTAAGCCAGAGAGGGGAGCCGTGGGAAGAGACAAAAGGGACGGGCATCGAGGCCAAGGGGGGGGACAGGGACAGGGAGTCGATGAGGGAGGAAGAGGTGGGTGGTGATGAGCCAAAGTGGCAGCCACCTAGAGCGGCAAGCACACTCGACTGCATTGAATGTCTAAGAGGAGTTATGGTAAGAGACATGTAAAAGACGGAAGTGATGAACAATGAGTGAAATCGCGAGGATCAATGATAGCTACGGCTAATAGTTACGGAGTAGACAAAGAAATGATGGACGGAAAACCGGGGATATCTAGAACAGTTATTCAAGACAATAGCCAGCGCCCTGTGGAGGAGAAGAGGAGGGGGCTAGAGGGAGCATGATAGGATACCAGGTTGTGTTTCTTTGCTTTCAAGTACCACAGTATTGAACTGATGGAGTTGGATGTAATGCTTCAGTGGAACTAATGGAGACGAAAGATGACAGTTCGATCTAGCTCGACTATTTCCTGGTTGGCTCAAGTGTGCCAACGTCGAACGAGCAGCACATTTCCATTGATTCTCCGCCTGCCGCCTTTTCAATCACAAGCAGATTTTGTCGGCAGGCAAAGACACATTTGTCTTGATAGCATCCCTGTAAGGCATCCTTCCTACTTAGGTAGCACCGTGCACTGTGCGGAGATCCATCCCGTTCGCACGCAGCATCCCTGCCGCGCCTCGTTGCAAGGGCGACCCTGCCACAGTGCCCGCTGCACTCTCGCACGCAGCCACGATATGCAAGGGCGTGGGCCATGAACAAGACAATGATGACACAAGCTCGGAAGAAGAAGAAAGCATACTGCTGAATTGAGAGACAAAGGCTGGCAGGCCGCGCATGACATGCAAAGGTTTTCTTGTTTTGCTTTTTCCCCCCTTTTTGTTGCTTCCCCCTCTTCCTCAGACGTTCGCAGCAACGCACGCACCGCACTACTGGTAGCGAAGGCGCAGGGGAAAAGTTTGGGTGATGCTTGCCAGGAGAGGACAGCAAACTGACCGAAACGTGAAGAACTTCTTTGAAACAGTCGTTGCGCAACCATATCGGAAGAAATTGAAAGACGCCAAGCTATCCACTGGGCAATACTACTACTCCGTATGCTGGCTGACAAGCGCGCCTGTGAGTGTGTAAAAAGGGAACTTGTATATCCGCCTCTCGATGATATTAGGCCATCTGCCTTCTGCTAGGTGATTCAAAACATGACAAAAACTCGCGATTTCCATCATCCAAGACAAAGCCTCGTCAAGACATAGCCTACACTCTATCATGCACCGGCCCCATATCATCGCCGTCCGTTTGCTCCGCCAACCTCTCCATGTCGTGGGAATCCGAGAACTCGCCAGTCTTCCTCGCCTCCTTTCTTCTCTTCTTTTCCTCCTTCGCACGCTGCCTGATTGCCTTCTTCTCCCCGCGCGTCTTGTGCGGAAACTCCCCGTCCGGACCACGCAGCACAAGCCCGGGATGCATCACGTTGAGCAACACCAGCGCGATCACCATCGGCAAGGCGTCGAGCGCGAGCGGGTACATCTCGTTCGTGATGAGCTCGTTGCTGGCGTCGATTCCTGGCCCAAACTCTAGTAGTCGAAAGATGACGCGGACCTGACAATTGGACACGGGCATCAGCCACGGCGCCCTTGTTACTTGAATTGTTTTCTCCCCCTCGTCATACACGTCGAGATTGATTGAATTCGCAAGGTCAACTCACTATGATCAAAACAAGAACAGCCAGCATAGTCCATGTCAATATTTGCAGCCGGCGTCCCATGCCCTTTCCTTGCGACACTTGCCGCATCCGGTGGTAGAACCATCCCGTCATGACCCCAAAAATGACCACGAACCCGAGCTGCAGCGCGATACCCGCCGTATACAGTTTCATCCCGATGGGAGCCAGATTGCGATTGTCATCATTGGATAGGAGCAGGCCGCCGCCCAGCTGCACCAGGAAGCAGACGACGTCGAGCCACACAAACAGCACCGTCAGCTTGACAGCGCGGACACCCCAAATCTTCTTGTCGGGAAGGCCAAAGAGACCATGCGGGCGACCGTCATATACGCAAAGGCGTTGATCCCTATGTTTTTATCAGGACCTGTTCAGCTGCGGATGTCGATGGCGGTGATGCAAACTCCACGCGTGCACTTACACAGCGGCGCCAGCAGAAAGAGAAGCTGCCCCCATAGCGCATACTGCCGCTCTTGTTGGTTGTGGGCTCCCAAGGTACGGTTGCTAAATGCTGCCGTCTCCCACGCGGCGCCCATGATGAGCACCCAGCAGAATCGCTACATTGTCTGCATGTCAGATTTTTCCCGTTGCCGAGACATGTCGTTGTGGGTGGTTGTACCTTTTTGTAGGCAATGGCCTGGACAATGTGGGCTAGGAAACTCGCGCCAAACAGCGCAGCAAATGCCAAATTCGCTTCGAAACTCGGATCATCGTTGTAATAGGAGTTGCACGCACCAAAAGGCACATGCCCATGATTATCTGGCACGGCTGTGGTGCAGCTCGGCGAAGCAGCAGTGCGCCTCGTCAGTGTAGCTATGTTCGTCGTCAAAGTCGCCATGGCATTCGGAAGCTCTTGTTGCACAAGACCGTCTTTCCAAAGCCTCTACTTTTCTCTTCGGGCCATTATATATGCGTTCATGATTTTGCATCGCATTCTTAACCGATCAACGTGAATTGCTATAATTACTCTTCTTCTCCACAATGTGAGAGAGACTTGTGCACTCCGTATGGAGGTGACAGGATGTGCTCTGGTACAAGAACCAAGCATAGGGCTGCTTCGCATTAAACCGAGAAAAGACGAAGGGACACGCCCAGGTTGGTGCTGTGGCTGTAAGCCAGCTGGGTCTAATCCAGCCCTATCCAGCAGTCGCCGGTAAGGCTGTGGTGGGGTTTCGGCTGGCAGGTACGCGTTCAAAGTCAGCTTCGTCGGATTCGCTCGCCGGCTTTGCGAGGCAGTGTGTGCAGAATTTTTATTTTATTTTTTTCTTTTTGGAAAGAAAATTTGCCGAATGGCTTTTTATTTCACTTTCTTGTCTCATATGAAAGCGTTTAGTCGAGAGCGTGTATGCCGTCGCCGCTCCGCTGGTACTTATTGAATAAAATCACAAGACTGATTAGCAGTGTTGTTGGACATGAATGCGGAGATACACAAATCACTTTAGCTGTAAATGTCATTGCACATCCACGAAGCAACAGTAGAATCGGAACAGATAAGCAAGAAAAACAACACCGTGCCCAGTCCCTTCAAAGAAGCCTATCATTTCACGTGCATATTACAGCGTCTTTATGCACGGCGCCTGCTTAAGGCTGGTAGACGCCAAACAATGCCACGATGCGGCAATGGACTGTTACCAGCCTGATCGGGCAGAATGTCTCATTGCCACTCTTTTGTTAATCGAGCCTGTCTCAAGACTACCAACGACTTACAAACTCCATCATGCGCATACTTTTTTTACCAATCTTTTTTTTTTTTTTACACCAGCGCTTGGGCCCATCTGATCGCCGAACCAACTGTGCGACCAGCGTTGTAGGCACGGCCATGTAAACAGCGAACAGCTTCCTGACCCGCACGGCAGCAAGCGAACTACCAACGACAAAGGTTTCCACTCCAGCCAGCATGACTGCTGCTTTTACATGTCATGTACTCGAAATGGCGCGCGACGAGAGTGTCGACACGGCCCCGTACGACTGGTGCCCTTTACCGGATATAAACGACGACGATGAGTTTCGGTCCGTCATCAAGAAACTCTCCATGTACGCCGCCTTTCCCCTTTTCTTCATTGCTGGCGTCGGCGCAAACGGCCTAACCACCTTGATCTCCCAAACACACCAGGCCACGGCATCGGTTGCTAACCACGAATTGCCCTCGCGTAGATACTTTGACTCGGCCATTGAGCTCCCGAGCACGTTTGAGCAGCTCCGCACGACGCCCGCGGGCGCCTGCCTGCGCGACCTGGCCAACCACCTCGCCGAGACGTGCCAGAACCCGCTCATTGTGAATGCCCTGCTGTAAGCCCTCTTCTATCAGTCGTGTCATCAACGCCCATGTAGTCGACTGATGAACAAAACAGCGCACTGAAATGGCACTACGACACCGAGAGGCAGGACCAGACCCTCAGCGAGGCTCGCTCCTCGGCCTGCGAGATTGTCGCATGGCGCTTCCTCGCGCTTCTCTCCGATGCCGACGCCATGCGCTTCTGCCTCTGCGAGATTCCCGACTCACGCGCCCCTCGCCGACCGTCGCGTGATGGTCGTGGTCGCGACGAGGAGGCGCAGCAGCAGCAGCAGCAGCAGCAGCAGTATCCCGCCACCGAGACGGCACCGCTGCTCCCACGTCGGCGCCGACTTGCCAAGACGAGCCCCAACGGCATGCGTCTCCGCCCACCCGGGGGCTCATCGCGCCAGTCGCTGTGCCTAGACGACGCGATGACGCCAGCCGGCGGCGTTGGCGACGCAGATCCAGCGGTCACGTTTCGCACGCTCAACGGCCTGGAAATGGCCGTCGTCTCGGGCGCCAAGCGCTTCCTCGGCCGTAGTGTCGTGCAGCGCATCGTCGCGGGCATCTGGCACGGCGACATCATCTTCTGGGACACCTTGTCGGTGCGCGCGACAAAACGGCCGTGTCTCTACGACCCGGCCAAGACGGACCTCTACTCGCGCCTGCGCGTGCCCAAGTACCTCAAGACGTTTGAGGCCTTTTTCTTCCTCATCTTCCTGTATCTCTACTACACGGTGCTGATCCAGCGCGTGATTGAGAGCGTCACGGCGACCGAGGCGGTGCTGTGGGTGTGGATCGCGGCGTTTTGCTACGACGAGTTTAGCGAGTGGCTGGATGCAGGGTCCGTCTTTTACGTGACGGACATTTGGAACGTGTGCGACTTGATCATGATGCTGCTCGGCTGTGTGTTTGCGGTACTGAGTAGGTTACTCCCCTAGATGCAGGGCCGTGGTTGATGCTAACAGATGCAGGAATCACTGGCGTGATACGGCAAAGCACCGCCCTCAACAACACGGCCTTTGACATTCTCGCTCTTGAGGCCCTCTTTCTCGTCCCCCGAATGTGCTCTCTCCTCTCGCTGAACCCCTCCTGGGGCATCCTCATTCCATGCCTCAAAGAAATGACCATGGACTTTATCAAATTCATGGTCATCATCCTCATCATCTACTGCGGCTTCCTCACCACCTTTTCCCTCCTCGGCCGCGACCACTTTACCCTTGTCCAGATGGCTGGCGTCCTGGGCAAAATCTTTTTCGGCTCCAGCTACGTCGGCTTCGACATTATGCACGACATTGACCCCTACTTTGGCCCGCCGCTCATGATTGTCTTCATCACCATGTCCACCTTTCTGCTCATGGGCTCGCTCGCCGGTCTGCTCGCCAACAGCTTCGCACGCGTCATGGACGCCGCCCACGTCGAGTACGTCTACGTCTACAGCGTCTACGTGCTCGAGGCCTCGACCAGCAACCGCCTCACCCACTTCTACCCGCCCTTCAACCTGCTCGCTCTGCTCGTCTTCCGCCCCTGGCGCCTCGTCCTGCGCGGCGACGACGCCTTTCGCCGCGCCCGCATCTGGCTGCTCAAGGTTACCCACACGCCCATTGTCGCCGTCATCCGCCTCTACGAGATGCTGACGCGGCGCAGCGCGGCCGACGGGTTGTCGCCGCTGTCGGGGTCAATAATGGCTCCGGGCGGGGGCTTTCGCCGCGCAGAGTCGCGTCTCGATGCGGAGAGGCCGGAGAGGGGCCGCAGACGCGCAAAGCGTCGGAGGCTGGTACTGCATTCGCAGGAAAGAACAGCGGTCGAGCAAGGATCCGCAGAGGTGGACCGTGTTGCGCTCGAGACACGGATCGGGGAGTTGAATAGCAAGATTGATAAATTGACTGATCTTGTCATAGAGATGAAACGAAGAGAAGATTCGCACCTGCGGAACCAAGATTCATAGAGCAATTCAAGCAATACATAGAAATCAGAAATAGACCGATCAAAAGTTACCGCCCCAAACTGCTCAATTCTTGTTGGCCAGTCATCTCAATCCAACTTTCAATCTCCTGTAGTACTCAATTTCCTTCGACTCCTTAAACTGTGCTTCTTTGACTTCTTCCGCGAGTAACGCGTCGAGCATTTTCTTTGACAAGTCTCATTAATCGCTGGTACTCGCAGTAATCCTCGCGCCTAAGGGCTTGCGCTCGATTGACAGATTCATTTGTCGTCATAGTCATCTGACTATCTAATCCCATATTGGCAAAGATTTTCCGTTCGGGGTCGACTGCAAGACTTTGGCTTACTTGTGCTTCCTCAGTGCGCTCGATTCTCCGCGCAAGGCTGTTATCAAAGATGTCCCCCTCCTCACTGCGAAACTCCACCAAGCGTTCATGCACGTATTCAACGGAGAAATAGACGAGAGCTGAAGGTTGAAACGCAGTGATCTGGGAGAAGAAGAGCGCCCACGTTTCTGATGGCTCAGGTATCACTCCATCAGCGGCCGCTTCGTACTTGGAGACGCAGTCCACGAGAATGAGACACGTCAGGGTTTTCGCATGGTCCGCAATGAACTCGACTAGCTCAGGGCATACGAAGCTATGATTTATCTGCAAAGATCGAAGCAAGGGCAAACTACCCGGTCTTAGCGGGAAATTGATCCCATTGGGTTCTCTGTCGCCTAGGGGGTAACATTGGACCACTCCCAACATGAGATGCGTAAGCTGATGCATGTGGCGGAAGAAATTCTCGGGCATTCTCGTGATAAATCTGCGGTATCCAGGTATCTCAGTTGCATTGTTTGCCCAGCAACATGTAGGGTCGATGATCGAGATAGATGCTGATGTGAGGCGACCAAGCAACTCGCTAAAGCGACGAGTGTTGAATGCTGTGACAGTCAATGCTATCACATCTCTGAAATTGATCCTGCGTACTATTGTGTTCTTTGCAATTGCTTGATAGGTTTCATTTAGCACAGCTCGCCATCGGTAGCGCTTCTCAGCATCCCTAGTTTCAATCGGATGCTCGATATAGCTCAACAAGCACAGAGAGTCATTCCACTGTTCGAAATCGTCGGATTCCATGCCGTTAATCCTCAACCACAAATGGACTTCATTTGCCTTTGATGTAGCGCATCCTTAAGAGCTGGCGACTGGCTGGCAGCAGTGCTCGGGATTTCAGGACCGGCGGCTTCTCGCCAGGCTCGATATTACTCTCCGGTTCGGCCCAATAGGTGAAACACAGGTGCCTAACATGATCGCCGTGTGTCTTGGCAGCCGCGAGAGCAGAGTCGGAAGTCCTTTGGTCGTTGCCAAATCTGATGGTGTGGAAAACTAATGGCGCCAAGTGCGCCCGATATGTCTTGCAGGTGCTGCTTAGACGAATAAGGTCGCGGTGGCACAGCTGCTCGACAATCCCATCGTATAGCTCTTGTGGGAGCTGGAAAATGGAAAAGGACATTCTCCTTATCTCGAAACCGGACTGTAGCCTGAAAATGGTCAAAATTCTTTAAAGTTGTCAAAGAAGTCTCTGGGCCGTGCATGGTCGAGATGGTGCAAGTTGAGAATGGCAACTCCCGCTTTGGGTCTCATTCGCGTATTCAATCTTGTTCTGTTTCTTTAGGCAGAAAAGCCTACGCGAGTGGAGCAATTTGTTTCACCTGAGGCATGCGTTTGCGAGAATTCTTGTTTGTGTGAGAAGATATTCAAAGACCCTATCCTGGTGTCTGGCAGCTGGCGGCCATACTGATCCGTTTGCTGCTGGCTGTGGCAATAGCTGGTAAGAAAGCTACGATACAATGACGATTTAGTGACTACATAGGATCTTAAAAATTAAACATAACTCAGACGAAACACTTTGATGATATTTAAGGAAATCGGCAGATTTTCTATGTACGCTCAGGGTATTATTGTGTTTTGATAGGAACCTAGTTACGCTGGAGATTGCCGTACAAGGAAATGGAATTAGTATACAGAGAGATTTTTTTTTGAAGAAAAGAAAGACAAAAAAGAAAAGAGCAGTAGTTGCGTGATTTTCAGCGTCAGGGCATGTGAACAAACCAAGGAACTTCATCTTATGCCATCATGATGGTACTCGTGAGCGTTCAGCGCAATCCTGATCACGAAATGTCATGTTGGGAATTCCTTTGTGGATCTCGAGCTTCTTGTAAAACCCCTGAAAAATGATATTCTTGATGGAGCCCGAATTGTTCTGTTCAAATCCAGGGGTTGTGCTAATCCTCCGGCGATGCGACCGGCATTGCATTTGACCAACAGCTCCAAGCGCTCGAGAGCTCGCTCACCAGGCCATTGGTCTTTGGCGTTAGAAAGCAGCAACCCCTGAATATACTTTCAAAATGCATTTTTTTTTTCACGACATTTACGTAGAAACGTACGCAAAGTCTTATGTCTGCCTTGGCCCCTTCAACTCGACCACAAACAATATATATCGCCAGACGCGCAGCCTTGAGTGTCATGAGCAACAGCCCAGCTCCTGATCTCAGCCCCCTATCTGCCGATTCACAGAGCTTCACCTAATTATGATATGATTTCCTCAATTCCCTTTGTTAAAGTCCCTCATCACCATTCTTTTCGAAAATCACCGTGGCAAAGTCATTGCTTGGATCACGTCACTGCAGCAAGTGGCCTGCGCTGCGGCTCTCGCTAGCGAATGCCCGACTCGTTCCGAACTAGCTCGCTCTGAAGTAAAGCACGCCGCCAGCTCCGATTTCGGGCTTTTTTTTTTATCTGGTCTGCAATGTTTCATCGACCACTACAGCAAACCGACCAAGCTCATCAAGCTTATCAAGCTCCATTTCTCGCTCTCTTCTTCGTCGCGCTACTTCATCTGCCATCTCCAAGCAAAACCCACTCATCAACGGGTCGTCTTCCTTGTCCACTATTTGTAACTTCGCGCCGGCGCCGTCTAATCATCTCCTCCGGGTCCCCACCCGACAAAAACCGCAGCGAAGCGCTCGTCTACGGGATGGGTTGCAAACCGCTCGTCACGACAATCCGACCTACCAATCACCAAATTAGAAGCACTCGCTTGCATTTTTCAATATAATACCTGCGCTGCGTTTGATAGACATATATTTACACATACGCGGAGACCAGTCATAATGGCTCCCCCTGCGGCGTCCGCGACGGCGCAGACGCCTCTCCTTTCTGCATCAACGCCATCATCACCATCACCAACACCACCGCAAACGTCATCGCCAACATCATCCTCCGCAACCATAACCACACAATCGAGCTCGAAATCGCGCCAATGGAATACCAAAAACCTCGGATCTCGTCTCGGCGCCGACGCCGTCAGCGCATCCTGCGCCGCGGGTTTGATATCCCCTCTGATTGCCTTCATTGACAAGTATGTACCCTCCCCTCTCTCCCATCTCTTTCTCTAACATGTCCAGATCCATCATGGAAACCGCCTCTGGCTCCAGCCCCTCCATCCTCACCTCTCTCCGCCGCTCTCTCACCTCCCTCGTCCGCTCTCCCCTCCGCACCCTCGCCTCGCGACCCGTCGGCCTCGTCTTCCTCCTCTACGGCGGCACCTACCTCACCGCAAACACCCTCGACACTGTCTCCTCGACCCTCGCCCCCGCCCCCGCGCGCACCACCACCGCCGGTCCCGCCAAATTCGCCGCCTCCTCCCTCGCCAACGTCTCGCTCTGCGTCTACAAGGACCAGGCCTTTGTCAAGCTCTTTCGCGACGCCGCCGCCGGTCCGGCCCGTCCTGTCCCGCTGCCATGCTTTGCCATTTTTGCGCTGCGCGACTGCCTGACCATTTTTGCGTCGTTCAACATACCCACAAGGCTGGCGCCCCATATCGACGCCTACACCACGCAGAGCATGCGCGTGTCGGGGCTCACGGCCGCGCAGTTCCTCGCGCCCGCGGCCGTACAGCTCGTGTCGACGCCACTGCACCTGTTTGGTCTGGACTTGTACAATCGGCCGTCGGCGGCGGGCGCAGGCGCGCAGCAGGCCAAAGTGTCGTGGGGGGACCGATGGCAGGCGATTCGGCGCGGGTGGCTGCCGTCGTGCGCGGCGCGCATTGGCCGCATCGTCCCCGCGTTTGGCGTCGGCGGCGTCGTCAATTACAAAGTTCGGCAGGGCTTCATGACAAAGTTGGAGTGAGCGACGTGCTACCCGCCATTGTCTCCTTTTTCCCTGCCCTGCTTTCCTTTACACCATCTCACAATAAACGCGTCACCCATGAAAATTGCCATACATTATCGCATTATAGATCTAGACGATTTAGATTGACACCGGCTCAGAGGCGCACCCGTCTTAAAATCCTGCACTTATTGCGTCATCATTTGTGTGTATTGTATACTTAATCAAGTCCGCCATTAGTCCGCCATTCATATACTCGGTAGCACTTTCTTTACCAAAATGCTCCCCGCATCAAACTCTTTCCACGATAAGTACTGAATACACATTGATTCAATTCGCACGCGCTCAAGACTAGAGTAGATACATTGAAAACGATTCCATCCTCACATATTTCGTTCCATCCGCTCGCCGTGTTTGTTTTCTCGTCAATCTTCTCTACCTACACATTCCCACATCCCATTTCCCTACGTTGTCAATCACACTTTGTGACAATTAATAAACGACGACATGGCTTTGTCCTAGATTCATTTAATTCATTCCCGTTTGTCCCTCCTCTCCGTGCCATGTAGCATTCCGCGTCATCTTTCCATCGTGTTCCATATCAGGTATAAACTAGTGCGCAATAGAAAAGAAGCGAGAAGAAGACAAAAACAAGGAGATCAAACCCAACCTTCAACGCCAGAGCCAAATAAAAAAAAAAGAGAGACCATCAAAGCCCAGCATCGTAGAGACAATGATGCGCTTAGTCTCTGCAATCATAAGAGAAAGGTCCACAGCGATCGCTCAGCTGACAAGGACAAACAAGATATAGAATGATGGGGGGAAAAAAGTCGTGAGGTCCTCTGAAAAGCTCGCTCCTCTCGTACATGGTCTGTCATTATCATGTCAAAAGCTCACTCACGAAAAGCGCTGCGGGTAAAAAACAATGTCGGCAAAAGCAGTATCAAGCTCGGAGCATAGTGCGGCCATCTTCAGCTCAGCTACTAAACAAGTAAGGAATTTGTACCCAAGAAGGAAGAGAAATTGAAAGACCGTATATAATAGTGGACAATTGTCAAAACAGCCTAGCTGCGCAGCACCTCGGCGCGTAGCAGCAGCTTGTCCGATTTGCCAAGAACAGTCTCGAGGTCGTAAGCGCTCATCAAGTTGCTCGGCTGTTTCGTTTGCTCGTTTAGGGCAAAGAGTTGAAGCTCGTCTCGGTCTGACACATCTAGGCGAGTTGCAATGACGGCTTGGAGCTTCTTGAACTGGGCATCCTTGTCTACGCGTGTATCGACTCGGGGCACTCGTAGGGCAATGAGGTCGTCGCCGTAGTACATCTTGACCTTGATGAGTTGTTGTGGTTGGCCAGCTGCATCGGGTTAGTATCACTGGCCGTGGGCCAAGGTCGCGGGTATGTATCTTACCTGGTCCTGATCCGCTGATTTGACGGGGCCCCGATGGAAGTGCACCAGGGCCGCCACCGCTCAGGTTACTTCTAGACCCGTTTCTCGAGTTGCCATTTCTGGGTGATTCAGCTGACGACTGGCGGGATACTTGCGAATCCCTATAATCCTGGCCGTTGGGGTTGCCATCCATTTCATAGTCGCCCTCTCGAGGCGCGAAGAATTGCTTGACGAGTGTGCAGCGCGAGATGTAAGGGGGCTGGCCTAGCAGGTTCTTGACATATGCGTCGAGGTTGTGCAAGCGGCCTTCGGTAATGGCGTCGGTAACATAACTGACAGGTCCAGGCATATATGGTAGTGTTCGTTTTTGCGATCCCGTGTTGCCAGCCTCGGTGGGAAATTCTGTGAGCAGGGCAATCTGAAAGTCGTAAAAGTCTTCGTAGTATCGTGACAGCTCCCAGTGTCGACCGTCCTCCAACATGGCCTCGATTACAAACCAGTACTTTTCCTCGGCGAAGCAGTAGCGGGGAATTCGAGCCTGGATCGGGGCGTAAAGATCGGAGGTGGAGTTGTCGACTTGGCGAGCTGCTTGCTGTAGGGACTGTGTGCGGGAAAGTTGGCCCTCGGCCTGCTGCTGGAGGCTGAGGCGGTTCATGCCCTGCTCCATCTGTTGCTGGCCAGCCTCAAACTTTCCGAGCGTGATGCTGCTGTTCTTGTACTCGGCCGCCATCTTCTTCCATTCCTCAACACGGGGCACGCCGGCCTGCTTGATGGCGTCGCCAGGGTTGACAATAGCCCTGTCAGTGGCCATGTCCCTAATTTCGATGAATGAGACGGGGATAAGACCGGGGCCGCCGAGTCTTCCGATGGGCTTGGCGACGAACCACTCCGGGTTAGACTGGGCAATAACGATGATAGCCTCGCCGGCTTTGGCGTTGAGCTCGTCTGCTCGTTCGGCGACAAAATCATACATGACGATGCCGTAGACCATGGCGCCGCCCCTGCTGCCAGATTTGGAGAGACGCTGGGTAGGCGCAGCGCTAGTGGGTGAGGCATCGCTGTAGCCGGAGTCGTGGTCCGGGGTCTTGTTGGCTGTGGGCGGGCGAATGGCGCTTCCTTCGGATTGCGCGCTATCTCGCTCGGTTCGTCCGAGAGCCTGGAAAAATGCGACGGGTACCAGGCCACGGGCATCTGGGAGGGCGGGATTGCATGCTTCGTACCAGTCTGGGTCGTCCTCGCGGCCGATAACATGGAAGAAGTCGCCTACGGAAAAGCTCAGCTCCTGAGAGGAGCGCGCTGTGTAATCGTAGAGTGCTCGGATGACCTGATAAAGTTTATTGGTTAGCACGCAGACAAGTATATTTTTCGAGTGTTTGGGCCGACGCCAACGGTCGCCAACGGTCGCGAACTTGAGTAGTGGCGTTGGCGGCTATGAAAAGGGCGAACAAACCTTTTTTGGAGGTACAATGGCGACAGCCGACTTTGGCGTGACGGCATTCTGGCTTTTATCCTTGTCGCCTTTGATAGATCGTCGAAGAGCCTGTTCAGAGAGAGGTAGCAAGTCAGCAAACGTCGGCTTCAAGGTGTCGAGATGCTGCGGATCTGGCGGGAGCAGGTATGGTTTGTAGGTGGTGCTGAGGTCATCATGAGGGCGGTTGGGAAGAGTCGCAGCCCTGGACTTCTACAAAGTGCTAGTTTGCACATTTGCAGAAGAGCAGTCGGCGGCGCCGTAGTAATGTACAGCTGAGGCGAGAACCGCGATCGCAAAGACTCGGGGCGAATCGGCGCGGGGGTAAAGAAATTGGCGAGGGGAGGCAGGCAAAACGAACCTTCATCCTTGCGGCAGAAGGAGATGTGAATTATGGCCTTGGAGATGTGACGGAATCTAGCAGCGAAGAAGAACTCGAAAACAAATGATGGCCTGCGCAGAGGCGAAGCGATCTCCGGGCGGATGGGTGACGGTTTTTTGAGGAGGGGCGCTCGGTGGGTAGACGGTTTCGTTTTGTCGATTTTCAAGGTTTCTGGCGAGTCTGGGCCGCCTCAATGGAAAAGGAAGAAGAGGCGTCGCACTAGCGAGATGGGAAGAGGGATTGCTTGGTGCGAAGGGGTGAAGAACAAAAAAAGAGGTGGCGGCAAGCGCCGTGGTAGGCCGACAAGTAGCGCACAAGGTTCTTCTTGAGCGCCTCAGGTGGGTCAAGATTCCAAGAGAATGAACGGTTGGTACCTATTTACCTACTAAAGTGCCGTGTTATTGGTGGTGAAGGGGGGAATGGAAAGAGGCGCTTGAAGAGCGAGGCAACGAAGCCAAAGATTGCGTGGCGAAAGGAGGGGTAAATACCAGTGTTTCTAGTATTTTGATTGCAGATACATTGCTTTGCTCATATCAGTAGGTTGGCATGGATGTACCCAGACAGTGCCATACACAAGCACAGAGCTCTTTGGCCTTTGGGTCACTTTGGCGAAGACTGAAGACGGCAAGATGGGCAGTGGTGCAGGCAGGGTCAAGGCTGGCAGGGAGCTCTCGGGGCGCTGCGGGGGTTGACGGCTCGACTCCCATGTCCGTGGCATCCACTGGCGCCACTAAATCCCGCCATCAAAGCCCGTCGCTAACGCCCAACCAACCTACTCAGGTACGTACCTTGCATGATGGCATCTACTTGGGTATATTTAGACACCAAAATTTACATCGTCGACTTGCTTGCAGGAACAGATCATGAGGTGCACAAACTCGATGCGAGACTACAAATTGGGCAGACGCCTCCACGTACCTATCTAGGTAGGCACTCTGGCAGAAACCCAGTCTCTACCTTAGGTACCTCATGCACTCAGGTACAACATCTCTATCCGACATCCCCTCCTCCACGTACCAGGCTCCCATTTGATATTTAATATGTGAAAATTCAAATCGTCTCCTTTATGCGCGACTATCGTCTCGTATAGACTAAGCATGCGCCATCATGGCCGAATCAACGCGTTTTGCCCAACTACGCCAACCGTCCCGTCCCACGGTCCTCGCTTGCACCGCCACCACCCCATCCGCGCTTCTCCCCCCCCCCAAACAACAGACATTTGTAAAGCCTTTTTTTATCCTCTTCTCGGCTCCCCTTCTCGGCACCTTCACGGTGTCTCCTTGTTCAAGGCTCATTACCTATCTGCCATTCTACAGGCACCAACGCGGGGTCTCGTGGCCGTTGAAACTGGCCGAACCTACTTGCTTGCTTGCCTACCTGCCGTCCACTGAGCCTGGAATGCGGACCCTTGGGCCACACCACACCCCATCGTCATCGCCTCCATCCACTGCATAAACGGCGCGTCTTGTTTTGATCCCACCACCAGCCATTGATTCGCCCGCATTGTTTTACCCCTCAGCTGTCTGTGGAAATTAAACTACCATGCCGCACGCACGCACCGAATCTCTATTTTTCTTTAAACTACTGCCTATCTTCCTACTTCGTACTCTCGATGGCGCCACAAACATGGCTGCATCCGTACCTGCAGCCCCTCTACTCCCATCCCGGGCCCGGCTACCCGCAGCTCGACAAGCCCGCCTTGTCCTCGTGCGCTGCACAGCATGCACAAAGCATTGAACCGATACGGATACTAATGGCCTTGTTCAATAAGGATACAATTCTCCGCTAATACTTCTGTATCACTTGTAGCTCATCGGTCTCTTACTCGGTCGTTTGCTCACCTGTTGTGTGTGTCTTGTGTTGCTGCGCCGTCGCACCGCGTCAAAGGAAGCACCGATAGAAGACGCATGGAAGCCTGCTGTCCTTTGCAATCTCACAAGCGAATGTATTACAAACAGCGTACACATTGCCACCCATGCCTAATATTCGCTACATTGCTTTTACACAGGCGGGGCGCCGCCACAGAGCCTCGCTATTGGCTCCCAGTAGATGCTGAAACGTCCCCAGGCCTTCTCCCATGGCATGCATTATGAGCGTGCAGGCTTCATGAGTCAAGGCCAAGAATTGACATGCAAACAAATTTCTTGGCCATTGTACACCTCACAATGTATTGCACTTTGATGGAAAAAACGGACGAAACGTCTTTATAAGCCGAACAAGCTCAGCTGCTAGGGCTATGCGTCTATCCAATGGCTGCGAATAAAGCCGTCGAATATCGGTCACGGCTTTCTACCTAGGAAGTAAATATAGACAAATGAGTAAGCAAATCCTTTGCCGTCAATGCAAGCGCCAAAACGCCCCAATCGGGTACGAGTCTCCCAGGGCTGCTCCAGTATCAAGTTGGTTGCATCTTCACTTGTCCCGATGCTTCCAGCTCCACAAGGATCAAGCTCTGCGCTCGCGAATTGCTGAGCCATGATTGCTCACTAGCTGTGGGGTAAAAAAGAAAAAAATCCGAGTCGCGCTGGCAGAAAAAAAATCATTGCCTCTACAGGGGCGGGAAAATCGTGTAGTCCGGAAATAGTATGTACCAAAAAGGGCTGCTCGCCAATGGCTCATGTCCAATGACTCGTCGTTCCCACGAAGTCGGGGGTAGGAGTGGGTGATGGCAATATGAAGGGGGGTTCGCAAAGAAGAAGAAAACACTTGAAATGGTCACGTTCAGATCTGACCCTTGATATCGACGCTTCTAAAGGCCAAAGCGCGGGTGCCCTCAAAGAGGTTGCCCGCTTTGCCCGTCAAGAATACGATATTGTCGGACCGATCTTCAAGCAATTCCTGACCTTGGTGGTCAATGATGAATTGGGCTGCATCCGCGTCCGATTCGAAGCCAAGCTCTTCGGTGATGAATCGGAGCTTGACATCCGGTTTGTACCTGAATCTCTGTTAGCACTTTTAGCTAGGGCCTGGCGCGCGGTACAACTTACGCTCTGCACATATTACACAATGCTGCTAGGCGTTCTCTGACCACAAACATATCCATCAGATATGCTCCCATGTTGGGTGTGTCGAGGTATAGCTGGAAGAATCTGTGATAATTCCCCAAAGCCAATGCCGATCGCACGCTCAAAGCATGCTTGATCGGGCCCTCTTCCTTCTCTGCTGCGGTTAGATCTGCCATCGTGTCGTTCAATCCAGTCCGGTTGGCTGTGTGAATAAAATATAAAATACGGTACGCTTTGAATTCCACGGGGTTTCCTTTCAGGCCCAGCTCATATAAAGAACGCAGCTGGGTCTGGCACTGATTATACTCACCGATATCCCCCTTCTCAAGCGCGATTCTGGCGTGAATTTCATAGACCGACACTGTAAAGTCGTTTTTTATGTGCTGCACAGTCAAATCTTGGCGCATCGACTTAAACTGATCGCACACATAAGAGTAGTTGCCCTCTTTCCTCCACTTCTTCTTCAGTAAGTCCAGTGTTTGGCGCAGAATAGGTTCGGGCCGAACGTTAGACGGAATAGGAGGGGCAGTTAGCCGTAGATATCTCTTCTCCAACACCTCACTAGTGCCCACGATGGGCCCTGACGACAGGCTGCTCTCCGTCGGTGTGATATTTGCGGCTTTGTACTCGTTCTCGAAGCGCCGCTTGCGCTTGCTCGCGTCCTTTTGGAACTTACTGGACTTTGCGCTGCTGTCCACGTCCCCTTGTTTGTCATACGAGTACGTCGTTCGAGCCACCAGTGAATTACGGTCCTTAGCAGTGTTCCACGGGGCTTTTGCGACGGCTTCGCTCGCAAATTCCGTCGATTTTCGCTTTCTCGTGTTTTCGACGCTGTACAGTGGATTTCCTAGTTTCGCTGCGCGGTCGGCTTTGACAAGCACTTGCGGTAATGGCATCTTATCCCAGTCAAGCGTGTGCAGTGAGCCATTGTCCTTGGCAGTTCCAATAGTAATCTTCAGCTTCGCCTCCAACTCGGCGCGGGTCACAGAGGCATCGTCATTTTCGGGAAGGAAAGATCGCTGGACATATCTTCTAACAGATTCCGGCCATTCAGTCTTCGCTTTCGACTGGGTCTCGGGAGCTGGGGCCCCGGGAGGTGACATTGCAGACGTTGCAGCAGGCGGCACTGGCTGGTATGCGGTAGGAGGGGGAGGGATATATTGTGCGAATCCTTGTCGAACCTGAACGGGAATAAATGCAGGATCTGTTCCACGTTAGTCGCTGGAGCCGCTGATGTTGCACGGCTCGGGGTACATACTATGTGTATAGCCTGCAGCTGCAGGCTGGGTGCCGTGCGCTGTTTGCGTGGCAGGCCACCCAGATACCATCTCGAACGCGATAGCTGAAATGAATGTTAGTTTACGGTCGACGCGCAGATGGTAGTAAATCTTGGCGCAGGTTATTTGAGAAGCGAATGCAGCGTCGCGACAGTACGGCACAAATAGTCCTGGAAAAGGGTTTCGGCCTTTGGCTTGGCTGGTGAAACGAAATGATGTCGGTGTGCAACCCAATGTTGTGTGTCCCGTGACTAGTTATGTCGGCAGAACTACGGGTAACACGGCTGGGGTTCTTGAGCGTGCTCCTAGACAGTGACACTTTGATATTACAAAGTTGCCATTAATGAAATCAGCAGCAGGTGTACAAGTCTTCTTCTCGAGGCTTATGAACCGTCACTCTTTTTTATTTGAGATTCGGGTCTTTACACATTGAATGACCTCCAGGCCCGGTGCACCTGGCTTCACTTCAACTTAAGTGGCGATCTTCGCCCACTCTTGTCCTGACTTTCACCTCACCAGCCACGGCGACATGATATGACGGATGTTTCTAAATCACATTGACTTGACTACAGCGCTTAGGCCCTCGTATTTACCAGATGAGGTGCTGCTATTCGTTCAGGATAATGTCGGCCTATATGAGGGGTAAGCGCCAAATGTCTCCGCGCACCCCACGCACGATACTGATGTCATGAAGCAAGTTCAAACTGCCAAACCAACAAAATGGGCAGGTTTACTTGACTACACACCGAATATGTTACGTCGATAAAAATGAGCCGCGCTTGAACTCTGCGGCGCTGGAACTCAAAGATGTGGATAGATATGAGTTCTATGCAGGGTTCCTCAAGTCATCAGCCAAAATTACGCTGATACCCAAGCCGCTCCGCAGGACGGGGCTGCAGAATCATCGCTCTTCAACTGCCGCTTCAAGTTCGAGGCATTCAACACCAAGACCCAATGGTGAAGGTGGATATCGGCCACCGAGCGAGTCGCGGAACATAACAGCTGCAACCTGGGTTTGCAAGATCTGCAGCTTCTCCAATCCGGTGCCCGCCAATTTTGACGCTACAACAGCAAATGCGCATACTCCTCTACCGCCATGTCTGGCTTGTGGGATCAAGCCAACCCTACAGCATGTATTGAAAGCTGCCATTTCGAACGCGTCTAAGCGGTCGGTAGGACCGCCACAAGCTCCACCGGCGCCAGAGCGACCAACGGATGCAGGCCAGCATGCGACCGAGAATTCCAATCACAATATCGCTCGCAGGTCAAAAGATCCTTTTCAGTGTCCAAGATGTACTTTTTTTAATCACCCATCGTTGATGTCTTGCGAGATGTGCGGAGCGTCACTCGTTTCAAAGCCTACTCCCGTTCTCACATCGACCCCTGCGCTGGACAATGACAGAACCGATTCCCCGGGACCCATGCTTGAAAATCATAATCCAAATGGGCCTATCAACTTGGAGGCGCCGGAAGGAGTGAAGATATCATTTCGCGGTGGCGGAGAGAAGATATTCTACGAACGGTTGAAAGGGTCCATGACGCAGCGGAAATGGTTGCTGCAAAATGCTCCTCCTCCGCCAAAAGGACGTCCCCGAGATGGCAGCATTTCCGGTGCAGAAGCCGATACCAGCCATAGCGAACGCAGGACAAAGACGGCAGGTATTGCTGGTCTTGAGCAGCTCGGACTGAGCAGGCACAAGAATAACGAGCTGCTTATCGGCAGTGCCTTTGAGGACCTCGAAGCTCTTATGGCGTCTGCGAAAGAGGTCGTTGCGCTTGCAGAAAGGTTCTCTCTGCAAAAGGGCTCCGGCAACGGTAGCTTCTCCGCGGAAGAAAATGCCATCCTTGCCGAGTCAGCAAGTCAGCTAGGCCTTGTGACGACAAAGGACATGGTGGGTAGTAGTGGCGGCTCAGAGTCTCTTTATCTCTCTGAGCTCGCGCGCAACCTAGCCGAATTCCTCACCGATGACACGCGGAGCGTGCTGAAAAAGGCTGGCGGCATATTGACTCTGGTTGATCTGTGGGCCATGTTCAACCGGGCACGCGGGGGCGTCGAGCTCGTCAGCCCGCTCGACTTTGAAAAGGCCGCCCGGCTGTGGGAGAGCCTGAAGCTGCCAGTGCGCCTCCGCACGTTTCGAAGTGGCGTCATGGTTGTCCAGGGACGGGACCGCACCGACGAGACGACCATCAAGGCGTTGCTGACGTGGCTGCAGGACCTGCACGAGTTCCCACCGGAGCGCGATGTGGCTTGGGACTGGCGCGCGTTTGGCCGCGGCGTCACGGCGCAGGAGGCGGCGGAGCGGTTCGGCTGGAGTCTTGGCGTTGCGGAGGAGGAGCTGCTCATGGCCGAGGAGCACGGCGCTTTGTGCAGAGAAGAGGGTCTGGAAGGGCTAAAGTTTTGGAAGAATTACATTGGATCAGAGCCGCTTGACGAGGAAGAAGCGGAAGACCCTATTATTGCGAAGTTACGAAGCGCCGCATTGATATAGACAAGTAAATATACACGCATCATAGAAGCCATATCAATCAGTCCTATTCATAGCCTTGTTCATCATGCGCCTCATTAAAAGCATAGATATCCTCTGCATGTCCATCAACGCCAGCCAACATTGTCAACATTACTGAATCCCACATTGCCATTATATACATTGGTCCTTGGCAACGAAAGGGAAGAAAGACGCCAAGAAAATCATCCTCTTCCGCAAAAGACACCTCCAATATTACACCACAACATGCGTCGACATGTGCTCAACAGCATCCGTGATGGACCTCAGCATACGTTGATTAATACAAAAGGGACAGCGCATGGCCTGTTCAAGAGGTGCCCTTGGCTCCTCTGTATGCATTGGAGTCATTGTCAGCTCTGGCGGTAGCTCCTGTGACGGTGTCTCGTATCTGTGATCTGGCGGTGGTCTATCCCCCATTAGAGACTGTGGCTCCAGAGCTTCGCGCTCCGCCCGCTCGCGTTCTTCTCGGACAGCGGCGGCCTGCTCCTCCGCAGCCTGCTCCTCTTCTTGGAGTTGGCGCAGCGCGTTCTGCAGCACGACTTCGGGGTCGTCGTCGGCGTACATGTGCTGCTCGTGCTGCTCGTGCTGCGGATGGCCCAGCTCGGCATCGGGCGGCGGCATGGTAATTTCGTGCGGGGGCAGGGGCGGCTGCTCGGTGGCGATGCGATGGAGAATGTTGTCGCGCACGAGCGCGCACGTGTTGAGGGTCGCTTCCACGCCGACCACGCGCAGGACCTGTTCTCGAATCGCGGCAGGGCTCGTGTCGGGCGCAATCCCCATGAACCGCGGAACGCAGTCGGCCAGGTAGTCAATGTCTTCGGCGGGGTTCATGCCGCCGTCGTTATGCCGTCGCTGCCGGCGAATCAACAACCCATACCTCTTCTTGAACCGGTGAATCCAGCCGGGCGAAAACTCGGGCGCCGGCTCCTCGCGGTAGCGGGGCAGCTGGCTAAAGATGGACTTTGCCTTTTCGCCCAGCTCGTCGTTCGTCGGTTGGCGCCCCGAGGCCTGCACCTGCTGGTACCACAGCAGCACCAGCTTCTCCACGTCTGGCCAGTTTCCGAAGCGCAGCCGCGATCCAGACAGCTGCGGGTGCTCTCCATCGAGCCTAGAGTACTTGGGCGATAGCGAGTGCGACACAGTGGACTGGCTAATCATCTGCCCGTACTGGGAAAAGAACCAGTCGATGCACGCCCTGTGAGAAGGACGCATCACCTGGCTGCTAGCCCATCGCCGCAGCGCGCGACGCTGATCGAGCGTCAGTGAATGGCGTTCTTTGGAAATGCTGGGTGGTGATGGTATCGTAAGGTCGTGGGCTGGGTCCGGCAGCAGCGCCGGGTCGGTGGTGTCTTCCGACATGGTCCAGCTGCAACTATGCCAAGGTGGGTTTGGGAAAGCTGCGGTTGTTGCAATCGTTGTATCCGGATAGCGATCTGGAGCAGGATTTTCGAGTTAGGCGGTGATGCCCCCACCCACTTTGGGTGGATTCACGTGACCTACCTGCGAACCGCTTTGCCTCTTGTGCTTGCTAATTGCAAAATTCCACGGGGTCAAGTTTCTGCAATTGCACAACGGGCGTTTGCGTTAACAGGGGTGATGGAATCCAGCATATGTGAAATCGCATATCCAGTGTGCCAACGGCGTTTTCAGTGGACGCTGAGAGGCAAGAGGAGAAAATAGAGGTTTTATTGAGGATAAAGTTGCGAGATTGGCAAACAGACGCGAGCGCGTGTGTCCCCCGCGTTTGTACGTGGCGTATCTTGCATTCTTGTCGTACAACAAGCTATTCTAACACTTCATACAAACAACGTTATGTGAGGAGATGACGCCCGGGATAGTTGAATGAACCAGTAACACACTACTCGTAGATCACTAATACCATCATTGAGATCCTCATCTGTCGAGCCCGAGCTAGTAGGTGCGACGTCACACTATGTAGTGCAGCGAGAAAATTTGGCCATGAGATCGAGTCTTGCGAGAAGCTTCATCCTTCGCTCATTCCCGGCAGACAGCCATCGAATCTCTCCAATTTGCGACATTTTGCAAGCCGCCATCACCAATGACCCAATCATTTCACGAGCCAGTAGCACATTGTCGTTGATTCAGCGCGGGGAGCTCCTCGGTCTGAGTTCGAACCTATAATTAACCACAATTCTGTAAATCACAGTTCAGCATCACAATTTCAAATGATCGACAAGGAAAATCTGCGCATAAATTGAAGCGCCGAAATGCTGTCTCGCTTGATGGTTACATCGAGCCTAGCTGAGCGTGCCAGCCATATATATACATCGCGTCGTACAATGATCGCCCAACACCTCGATAAACCGGTTAGTTCTTCTTCTCAGCCTGCTCAATAAACTTCCTGTTTTCAGTGTTAGCATGAAAATCTCGATCGTCGAGCTCGATGGAAGGTAAATGTCGCACTTGATGAAGTCGGCCTCGTCGGAGCTGGCGGCGTTGATCGGAGGGGCAGCGGTGCTGGCTGCAGGGGCCTTGGGGCCAGATGCGACGTAGTAGATGCCGCCAGCAAAGGTGGCGAGCCAGCCCATGGCAAGCTAAGGAGTTGTTAGTATTCCTGTTGTCGTCGCAGAAGCCAGATGCTTGAGCGGAATTGCGCCGAAGGGGGGTGCTCATACGTAGTGGCTGCCGACTTGACGGCCAGCGATGGTGTAGGTGGCAACCATATTGAATATGCTTTCGAAAGGTGAATTGATGGGATTAGAGTACGTCGCGAATCAATTGAACTGTGCTGACAGTTGGGGATGCTGGTGGACAAGTCAGAAATTCGACAGTCTGTACGCCTGGAAACAGAGGCCCGTAACGCGGCTATACTTCGGCGCGCCGATCAGCACGGTCCCGAGCAGTTAATCGGTCGATGATGCAGCCGGCTACTGAAATCTTAAAGCTTGCATCATCTTAAAGGAATTGATTAAATTTTCTCTTTCTGAACTTTTCAGCGATCATTTATCTATTTAGAGATCCTTTTAGAAATACCGCTCAATATGCCTTGGTGGGGGAAAAAAGAAACGCCCAAGGATGGGCAGCCCGCCAGCGCCAACTCAAGCACCGAGGTTGACAAGCTCCCACCCAGAGAGAAACTGCCCGCGAAACTACAAAAGATTGTCGACAAGGCCAATGCAGAGAACAGCAGCTTCTTCGATGATGTCAAAGAGGGGTAGTAAGTCATTTTATGCCTCCATCACTTCCTTGTAAAGCGAGGCACTGACTTTGCGCCTAGCGGTCCGGATTCCACGGATACCAAACTTCGATATGCCGCATACGCGACTCGCCTACGAACGATTATGCTCTCTGCGCACCGTTACGTAGCATATACCTCGGACATTGGCGAATCGTTTCGGCCCGTAGCCCACCCCAAGGTGGTGCGCGCTGCCTACGGTATCTCGTGGTTGTATCTCATCGGTGATGTCAGTCATGAGGGTTACCGAGCATACATTCACAACCAAAGAATTCTCAACCCTCAGATGGAGCTCACCCCTCACCAGCAAAAGATTACCGGTCTTCCCGCAACGGTGACTGAGAAATTAACACCAGGTGTCGTTCCCCCGCTTGAGGACTACCGGACCGTCATGGTGCAACGCGGTATTTTCCAAGCAATTGCCAGTATGGGCCTGCCGGCGTTCACTATCCACAGCGTCGTTCGCTATTCCAGGAGAGCATTGAAGAATGTCAAAAACGCTACTATCCGCACATGGACGCCCATTGGACTGGGTCTGGCTGTCGTTCCGTTCCTACCCGCCATGTTCGACGAGCCTGTAGAGCGCGCTGTCGAATATGTGTTCCACAAGGGCTTCGAAGCGGTCGGCGGCAAAAAAGCAGTGGGCGATGCACCTGTGACAGGAAGAGAAGCCGAGCTTGGAAAGGTGAAGAAGGAATAAGCTCCATGGTGTTACCCGGGAGGAGCCACGGTTTTCATTTATTCTCTATTTCCTGAATTATAGCGCTCAACTCTTCGATTACAGTACATAGAAATGTAAAAACCTCACAAATTTGCCTCGTTGTGGTTATGCCTGCTCCGTTCTGCAATGCGACGCCGGGCTATTCTGACATGCGTTGATGGGCAGTGTGGTGGCATTCTCAGGCCGCTAGCAATGTCACAATCACATCCTCCTTACACAATCGAACCGACCTAGAGATATCTATGTAATCTAATGATATCGTCCGAATCAGTCTACCCTGTTCCTACCAGTGAAAGTTCAGGCGCTGCTCGTCGCCTAGTGCGGCCCGATCTACGTTGGCTTGGCGCGGCCTTGTTCCACTCTACAGCGCATCGCCACACTCCCTGAAGGCGTTTCTAGACGTTTCGCCGGACTTTGGTCAGCACCACGTCGCAACCACTTCTGCCTACACGCGCAGCAGCCGCCCCAAGCTACGGGTGTGGCAAGTAATACCCTTATACTTATAAAAGAGGCCCTCCAGATCTCACTATCGCCAAGATGGCGTCCACCGGCGCTGATGCACCTGAAGAAAGCTACGTCATGAGAGACAGAACCGATGCCACCTTGGTTGGCAAGCACTGCCAATATGAATACTGCAATCAACTCGACTTCCTCCCCTTTCACTGCCAGTCATGCAGTAAGACTTTTTGTCTGGACCACCGCACAGAGACGGCACACAAATGCGCAAATGCGGGTGCGTGGGCTGAACGCCGGCGGCAAGCCCAGCTCAACCGACCCTCGATAGGCGGTGCAGGTGGAAAGACGCTGAGAGACAAGACTCAGGAGAAGCCATGCGCATCACCAGACTGCAAAACCGTGGTCGGGACATCTTTAACACCAGGTGTCCACTGCCAGACTTGCAAACGCGACTACTGCCTCAAGCATCGACTTGGAGAGGACCACGACTGCAAGAACTTGGTGCCGCTTGGCTCGCGGCTTGTGCATGTTGATGAGGTCGCCAAAAAGACGAGATCTGCTCTCGATAAATTGAGAGCCTGGGGAAGTGCCAAGAAGGAGCAGGCGGGGAGAGTTCTACCGAAGCCCAAGCCGAGCTCTACCGCAGCCAGACTGGTTGCCGTCAACAACCTCAAGAAGTCTGCCAAGGGAGATGACAAGATCCCTGCCGAGAAACGCGTCTATTTATATGTGGAGGCTGAGGCTGAGACTGCAAAAGCAAAGTTTCCAAAGGGCTCGTTCTTCTTCTCCAAAGACTGGGTGGTGGGCAGAGTGTTGGATTCCGCGGCCAAACAGTTGCAGGTCCAAAACATTAACAACCAGAGCTCAGATGAGCGAGATAAGCTACGGGTGTTTCATGTGGAAGGTGGGAGGGTGTTAGAGTTCAACGAAAAGGTCGGGGCATCATTGCAAAGTGGGAATACAGTTGTACTTTTGAGGGGAGTTGGGCCGGCCCCAGATCTCATCGAGGTCTAGCATATTGCATAGCGAGGTGTTGTTTCAGGTGTTAGCAGACTGCTAGAGATCATTGATGATTGACTATTTCTTAATTGAATATTGAATATTGCTGGACTAGAAATGCCAGCGAGCTAAACAGTCGCATTCTTCTTGACCTCCGCCTCCAGAGCGCTGCGCAGTTCATCATACATCGGGCCGAGTCTCTGAAGAATAGCGACCGCAGCTTCGTCATGTTTCTGCGTCAAGGGGTATTGGAGAGCTCCAATAGCGCGCGCAATCTTATCCATGATTGTGGCTGATTCAGCGTAGCCGACCCGCGACAAACAGCTCGCAGCATCAATGCTTCGTCGTGCACCAACCTGCACGGCAAAGTAGACCAGGTGTGCGCGCATATCAGGAGGCAGTCCAACTTCAATTCTGTTGCATAGCCATTTCGTTGCAGCTTCATTCGCAGTCGAACCCGGCGGCATCGCATCGACTCCCGCAGCTTGCAAGGTGATGTGCTTTAGCGCGTTGGGAATAGAGCGTCGAATGACGTCTTCCTCGGTCAAGACTTTGGTCTGCTTGAAATCAGTCCTCATGGTGTATGATTTGCCATAGCCAAGTGAGTCCGTCTTCCAGGCCGCCATGAACTCTTGCAACGGCAGAGTTGCGTATGGGTACCCGTGAGGGTCGTGCATTTCGACAGTCTCGTTGTCAATACCGAGGATCACGACGTAATGGTCCGCACCAATAGGACCGCGGGCGTTGGGCTGATGTTTCAAGAGGCCCATTTCGACTGGGCCAACAAACACAGGGCCGTTTTGTACGGCTGCCTTGAGGGAGCTGAGTGCGTCTTGCTCATTCTTGCCGATGATTTCAGTGCAGCGCCATCCCATCGCCTCCAAGGCATCATCAAAGCTTCTGAGTGGATCCCAGCCGTATGGATCGAAGAAGATGAGAGGGGATTTCGGAACATTGATAATCTCCATGCCAAAAGCAGACGATGTTGCAAACTCAATGACGGCCGTAGAAGGGGCCTTGGCCCCAAGAACCGTTGCAAAGGAATTGGCATAGCAGTAAGGGCCGCTACCCACATAGGATGTAAATCCCATGATTTTCGATCGAAGACCGTAGTTAAACAAATGAGAAGATTTGCTCAAATGTATACAGAGAATGGCTGAGAGTAAAAGCAGATCTCGACGGCTTTGGTGGCTCGACTTATCGGCTTACAAAAAAGATCATGTTAGAAAGTAAAGAGAAAACATGAAAGATGTATTATAGGACATGTTATTACGGAAAGTCTCCTATTACGTATTGCAACTTGAACTTGGTCTTTTTTGTAATTATTTACCCCATCTGACTGCTCTGCGCGAACGGTTTGTAATGGTTCTCACATTAGTTAACGGTCAGGCTGCTAGTGCCCACGGTACTGCGTGAACAGGCGATTACAGTCCATCTTTCAGCTGACCTGCAGCAAAGCGCGCAAAGGTCAGCTAAAAATAGGCAATCCATTCGACATTTGCAAGCTGACCTCATATACCACATTTTCGTCAGAGAATAGATGTATGAATGCCTGCGTATATGATGCTGATGATGTCGTCCGTGTAAATGACGTCACGTGCGTTGGCGTCGATTTGCGTTCTCGTCGTGGAGTTAATCAATCTAACCTACTCACTTCCGGGATTCAAGATGCAGAATACCGAATCCTTCTCTTCGCAGAATGGTCTCGAAAATTCAGACTATCCACTCATGGCATAATTATGCCACCACATGTACCGCGCAAGCGCTTGCGCAGTTTGTCGCCTGATGCCAGACTGCCAAGCAAGCGAAAACCTACTCTCTATGACGATCTTGATGCATCGACTGCATCCAATTCGGCACAGGCGGCTTCTGTATTCTTAAACAATGACATAGACAGTGATAGCAGCTCTCTTTCTTCTCTTTCAGATGACGACTTTGAAGACGTGCCTGCCGCGAAACGCGCACCTCTCGAGGACGAGGGTGACGATGAAGAGGAGGATGACGACGCCGAATTTGAGGATGTTGTGGCACCCGAAAAGCCTACGGATGACGTGCCACATGTCACAGGGGATCTTGAATTGACCCTTGTTCGAGATGATAGAGTTTCACTGACGAATCCCTTTGGCGACAAAAGAGGACCGTCAAAAAGAGAGAGATTGGTTCGCAACGCAACCCATCGCCTGCATGTTTTATGTCTCCTTTGGCACAATGCTGTCCGGAACTCCTGGCTTTGTGATCCAGAGCTACAAGGCATCATGCTCTCGCATCTCCCCTCGAGAATGTGGGACGAAGTCGACAGATGGAAGGAGAAAAGCGGACTTGTGCAACACAAGGCCGTTAAGCCCAAGGAGAAACGCAGAGGTCGCAGTGGTACAAAGGCAAGAGATTGGGAAGATAACGCCAAAAAGCTCGAAGAAGGAGTACCTGACATGAGCAATGGAGATCCTCTATTCAGGCTCGGTCAGGTTCTAGTGGCTTGGTGGAAGCAACGGTTTCGCATCACCACGCCGGGTTTGCGAAAATGGGGCTACATGGCCTTGGAGCGTCTTGATAGGTTGACAAAGGCATATGCAAGCGAAGATAAAAATGCCTGGAAATTCGGCGAACGCCTGGAAAGTATTGACGATCTTCGGCAATGTGCATCTCGCTGCGAAGGAAGCCGCGACGTTGGCGCATATCTCTTCACGGCGCTTCTCAGAGGCCTTGGTTTGGAAAGCCGCTTAGTTGCAAACTTGCAATGTCTTGGCTACTCATGGACCAAATTGGAAGATGCAGAAGCCGAGCAGGCGCATGGCGATCTGCCGACGCGCGCAGCAGACAATACGCCAAAGAAACACCCCAAAACGAAACGGCGCCACAAGGAGACTCCGGAGACTAAGAGGCCAGAAAGGTCCGCGAGGAAACAGTCAACAAAGGACGCGGAGCTGGAACGCGAGTATCTGGACTCCGATGACGAGTCTGTGGTTGAAGTGCAGGTGACGCCTAGCAAATCCAAGAAACCGGTACAACCTAAAGTTGACGCAGAGCTTTTATATCCAAATTATTGGACGGAGGTTCTATCCCCAGTAACAGGCAATTTTCTGCCCATCGAACCAGTGGTAAAAGGGATAGTCGCTACTAATCGCGACCTCGTCGAGAGTCTGGAGCCTCGCGGCGCAAAGGCTGACAACGCGCGCCAGACCATAGCATATGTGGTAGCTTATTCTCCTGATGGTACAGCCAAGGATGTAACCATTAGGTATTTGAAGCGAAGAATCTTTCCTGGACGCACAAAGGGCACGCGATATCCAGTTGAGAAAGTGCCCATCTACAACAAACATGGAAAAGTTCATAAATACGAGCAGTACGACTGGTTCAAGTCGGCCATATCAGGATACAGACGCGGTGACAAGAAGCGACCTATGACTGAGATTGACGAAGTGGAAGAGAGCACGGATCTGAAGCCGGACAAACCCGAGATAAAACCTGTACTAGAAGGGGAAGAGACGTTACAATACTACAAGCAGTCCAAAGAGTTTGTGCTTGGGAGATATCTCAAGCGCGAAGAGGCTCTGCGGGCAGGTGCTAAAGCAGTCAAGAAGTTCCAAAACAAGGGCAAAGGCAAGACTGAGGAAGAGGATGTGTATTTGAGATCGGATGTCTTGAACGTCAAGAGCGCAGAGACCTGGCACAAACAGGGAAGAGCTCCTCTGGATGGAGAGGAACCATTGAAGCGAGTGCCATATCGTGCTGCAACCACAAATCGCAGACGTGAGCTGCTAGAGGCAGAAGCAGCAACTGGACAGAAAGTTCTACAGGGTCTGTACAGCTATGACCAAACAGATTGGATCATACCAGAGCCCATCAAAGACGGCATCATTCCTAAAAATGAATACGGGTAAGCCATTCTGATATATAAACCAAGAGCCTACCACTAACCACAGCGCCAGGAATATCGATCTATTTGCCGAACACATGTGCCCACAAGGTGCTGTCCACGTGCCCTTCAAAGGCACTGTCCGAGTTTGCAAGAAACTAGGAATCAATTATGCCGAAGCTGTAGTGGGCTTCGAGTTTGGGCATCGCATGGCCGTGCCAGTGATCCAAGGTGTCGTAGTTGCCGAAGAGAACCATGAGATGGTAATGGAGCAACTTCAGCAAGACGAGGCCGAGCGACTGCGAAAGGAAGACGAGAAGCGCCGGAAGGCAGCTTTGGCGCAGTGGCGAAAATTTCTCATGGGCATGCGCATCGTACAGAGGATTCGCCAGGAATATGGTGAGATTGACGACAAAACCTCCGTGTTTGGTCACAGCAGCAAGACGGGTCTCGCTGGCGCACCAGACCCAGCTGTAAGGGAACATGATGAGGCTGAGAACGAGGACATGGCAGGAGGATTTTTACCAGAGGGCTACGAAGAAGAAGAGGTTGACGGAATGGGTCGAGGCGAGCAGACTACATCGCACTTTTTTCCTGTGGTTGACGAAAATGAAGCAGATGATGATGATGATGGGTTGGTCTTGGAGGATGAGACATAGGAAGCGGCCCTGCTGCAAGGCGTATTATCTAGAGATGGATGTTGACCCATGTGAAAACTGTTGAATAGAGAAAAAATCAACTGCTAAACCGAACCTCCTACCTAGGTATAACGCCAGATGAGACTAAATGAGTAAAAAGGGTGAGCTTTGTCGGCTACCGCGCGCGACCAAACTTCTCATGCCATTTACCACGACTTTTGGTATTTGGTGCCCGATCCACGATGATCGTTTTATTAACGCGCTCAAGCTCAACCGTCTCTTTGATAGTAGCAACAGCAGCGATACCTTGTTGAGGAGACGCCGTATCAGGCGTGTATGGCTTGATGAGGAACAGGCCGTTGGACGTGCTCTTCTGTCTGACGCTGTAGGTATGCTCGGGGCTTCTAAGCGTGACCATGTCATCGGCGCCGGGCTCCAAGTAGAGGCTGTTACAGCAAAGTATTGTCAGCCCCAGCTGCACCCTGTCGTGGGTGGCGTTTCGGAAGGGAGCAACTTACACGGGCGGGCTGGGACCCTCGAGCAGGGCCTCGAGTTCGGCGGGAAGCTCAATTAAACGAAAACCGGAGCTGTCGGGGGCATTATAGAATGGTATACCTTCGTTTTGGCTCGACATGGTGAGGACGTGATGGATGGTGTGAGATGAAAGAACTCGAGGCTGCGTTTGAGAGGCCAGTGGGGATGTGATGTGTGGCAGTCTGCGCAGGGTACTTATGAAAAGTAGTTACACAAAGAAAATCTCTGAACGTGAATGGATCAAAATTAAAGTTCGACAGTCTTTTCTACACTATTTCATACTTGAATAATTTACAACTGTTCAACTATACCTTCAACCTCAACATTGCTCATGTGCAAAGTCGCGTCGCCCCACAGGCGGCTTGAACCGCGTAAAGTGGCACTAGAGCAACCGCGTTCCATCGCGTCTTCCACAAAGCCAAAACTCCCTTGTCTCAGCCAATGAGCCATGTCCGCACAGCGACATTCACCATCAGCAAAGCCACGCCCATAACCATGGCCCAGGATACGGCTGCTGCGAATGGGAATAAACGATTGAGAGACGAAACCGACACACTGTCGCCGCCGAATGCCGACCTCGAGTTGAAGCGTCGCAAATTCGAGGACGCAGCCCTGCCCGGCGGCCATGGGCCGGGAATCGGTCTCGGCTCCATCGCTGCTGCCATCTCCGGAGTCTTTGGATACAACCGGTCGTCGACTCCCGAAATAACCAGCCAGGAGGCCATCAATTCGCGCAGTGAAAACGATAAGCCTCCGCAACCCGACGCAGCTGCGCCAGCGATATCGCAGCCGAAAGCTTCTTCCGTCGCGCCAGCAGCGCCGGTCAACGTGGCCCCGGTCGCTCCAATGTCGGCCAAGACTGGTATTCCGGTCGTGCCTCCTCCGCCTCGACTAGAGATTCAATTACCCAGCTCGCGCCCTGCGATCAAGTTAAAGGCGCTCAAGGGGACAAAATGGGACACTGGCGAGGCCAATCTGGCCCCGAGGCCGCAAGCGGCCCCGAGTAGGCCTCCACCTCCGAGAAAGACTCCGACGAAGTCAAGGAGTAGAAAGAAGGCTACGTCTACACCTGCGCCTGCGTCTACGCCTGCAATTGTACCGGCACCTGCACCTGCACCTACACTCGAGCCTGTCGCCAAAGCCGCACCAACTCCCCTCAGAAGCCTCGAGAACAGTGCTGATGTGCCCCAAGCTTCAACGAACGGCAGCGCGAACGCCATGAAAAAAACCGCCACAAACGTCACCGCAGACGGCATCGGTACCGAACCAGTAGCTAACAAAGAGCCATCACTTCCTACACTTGCCGACTCGCCGACAAAGAAGCGACTATTATCCCCCACTGCTTCCGATGCGCCAAAGAGCATTCTCACTCCTACTAAGAAGAGAGGCCCTCGGCCTAGCAAAAATGTCACGTTTGATGGCAAGGGCTTGTTCGATCACATCCCACGAACCGTCAGTGCCAAGAAGCCAGGACGGCCAAAGAAGCTGGATGAACCTATAGATGATGAAATTATTTGCGGCATCTGCACGAAGCCGCATTCGAACCCACCCAACGAAATTATACTGTGCGACAATTGCGATTTTGCAGTACATCAGGAGTGCTACGGAATACCAGAAATTCCCGAAGGTGATTGGCTGTGCAAGTCTTGTACACAGGAAGATGTGTCGAAATCCCTCGAAGCTCAACCGGGGCTAACTCCCGCACCAATTACCCCGACCGTCGAGGTTCCTGATATTCCAAACCTGGATCGTCATCTCGGCGCCATGCAACGCGTGCTGCTAGATCGTTGCGCTGGCCGACGCCGGATACGCATGTTTGGCCAGGATGAAGCTAGCGACAAGGTTCGGCAGCTTATCGAACAGACGGTGTTGGCAGGAGAGGGCAACTCTATGCTGCTGATTGGGCCTAGGGGAAGCGGCAAGACGACGGTATGCTCCCTTGACTGCTCGAGGTTCACATTCTAACGCAGTTTAGCTTGTTGATAATACCATTGAAGGTCTATCGCAAGAATATGGACAAGATTTCCATGTGGTCCGTCTGAATGGCTTCATTCACACCGATGACAAAATTGCACTTAGAGAGATATGGCGTCAACTAGGTAAACAAATGAAGGTCGATGACGATCTCCTCAATAGAGTGAGTATTCTTGTTCCTTTTTGACGGCCACGCTAATATCTTCTAGTCAAACTATGCGGATACAATGGCATCGTTGCTTGCACTGCTATCGCATCCGTCTGAAATACTGGGTCAAGATGCCGGCGTCACCTCGCAAGCTGTGGTGTTTGTGATTGACGAATTCGACATGTTTGCCACTCATCCCCGCCAGACACTTTTGTATAATCTATTTGACATTGCGCAGTCTCGAAAAGCTCCAATCGCGGTGCTAGGATGCACAACGCGTATGGATGTCGTTGAGATGCTGGAGAAGCGTGTCAAGAGTCGCTTCAGTCACAGATACGTGTATCTTTCTCTTGCCAAATCACTGCCGGCTTATTGGCAAGTTTGTAGGCAAGGACTGATGCTGGGAGAAGTCGATGGAGGGAAAGAAGGTCTGCATGTTAGCCTGGAGGGCTACGCGGACTTTCAGAAATACTGGAACCATAAGATTGAGGTATGTCGACTTGTCAATTGGGGTTGAGCGTCTGCTGATGCTGTTCATCAGGAGCTTTATAAACACCGCCGATTTCAGGATCTGCTGCAGTATCACTACTACACGACGAAATCACCATCGGCATTCTTCTCAGAGTGGATCCTACCATTATCATATTTGACGGCCAAGGACTTGACTCTACGTGTGCCTGCAGTCGGGGACTTGACCTCGCTGGCGCCCCCTGACTCTCGGATGGAGCTGCTGAATAGCTTGTCAGAGCTGGACCTGAGTCTGCTCATTGCCGCGGCAAGGCTGGACATCGTGGTGCATACCGATACGGTCAATTTCGCCATGGCGTACGATGAATATAGTTCGCTCGTGGGTAAGCAGCGTGTGCAGTCTGCCGCGTCGGGCTTGCTCGCCGTGGGCGGAAATGTGCGTGTCTGGAGTCGCGGTGTCGCGAGTACGGCTTGGGAGCGTCTGGTTGGATTGGGCCTACTCGTTCCGTCTGGGATCGGGGGCGGAAGAACGCTGGGCAGTGGGGGATTGGATGGACGTATGTGGAAGGTGGACGTGTCGCTGGAGGAGATTCCGGCTGCGGTCAAGCTCAGTGCAGTCATGGCAAAATGGTGTCGCGAGATTTAGATGCGTGGAAACTTGTACGAGCAGATGCATGTGGTACGGGAATTACTTGTTTATGCACTGTGCATTATGATATAGAGGCTGTTAGAGGCATTGTTAAGGCGTTTTCTCTTTGCTCTTGATGATTTGTCCTCGGTACCATTTATCGCTTCTCTGTTGATGAATGCATCTTGCATATTCCCACGTAGCGCTACGAGAGCGACTGAGGTATTCAAGTAAACGTGACAAGGCAATGGAAGAAGCACCAGAGGAATTGAAGAAAAGAAAAGCCAAAAAAAAGAAAAGAGAAAGAAAGAAACATGAATTTCAGTGGCTGCAACCGACTCACACGCCCCCTTTCTTGTCGGCCGGGCCCGACTACTCGATCGGAGTTTGTGAAAGCAACTAGGGCGGTAGATCCCCTCAGCCTCGGGAAAAGAGCCGCCGAAGAAGCGCCCTCCTAGCCTGGTTCGTACTGTTACGTTGTACTTCTGCCATCGAAATGCAACAACAGGAAAAAAGTAAGATCGCGGTCAGCGAATGGGAGGCTATGCGCAAGGTAATTGCTATGCTACGGATTGAGTAGATGCAAAGGTGGAGATATTGTAGTCATAGCACCCCAACTTCACAGCCCTTCCATGTCGAGAAGGGACGACAACTTGTAGGAGGTGCTAGTCTAAACTCGCTCCTGTGTTTGTTTATTTATTAGGGACTTTTCTAGCGGAAACGCAAAGAAGCGGTGGCCATCTGCGCCAGTGACTGTAAAATGGTCCTTTTTTAGGTAACCAATAACCAATTTCAACAAAGACCTTATCCAGAATATCTCTATACGTCTTTTCAAGATGATTAGCGAGCTTGAGCAGGCCTTAATATCTAATGCGATATTATAAGCAAATTTATGTTGCACAGTTTCAAGCTCATGTTTCAGATTGTGAGGCTCATAGGGGGCGTTGTCATTATCAGTCAGTAGCCAGTAGGTAGGGATGTGGTAACTGTGAGGCTTTGAGACAACAAAGTATCCTTTAAAAGAAGGCAATACCCACTGTTGGACAATTATATTCGCCTTGGCTTTTTGTACATCTCTGCCTTTACGTTGATGGTGGACGAAACCTTGACAGCCGTCAACCCCTTTGTACCTTGGTCCGCGCGCTACTAAGCCCGAGCGGCGGATCTTGAACGAGGATACAGCTACTCAAGAATCAATTTGCACCAGCTACACGGGGTTCTTTACACGAACCAAATCTAGTGTGAGCGAGTAGTCGGCGTATAAGTTCTCCGCCGTCGTGCGCCCCTCCTTCCGTCAACACGCGACACAACTCGATCAGCATTCCGGTAACGGCCTAATGCCGAAAACAACAAAGTTCACGTCCATGACGCCTCTGCCGGCAGGCATGACGCGGCAGACCGCCATCCGCTTCCTGCAGGACCACGCCGCCATGATTGACCTGAACCCGCTGGTGACGGCGCGGCACCGGATCCCCGCGCCCTCCTCAGCGCCCCCCTACGAAGCGGCGTGCGCGTGGTGGGCGGTCACGGACCGCATCGCGTACCTGCCGGGCGGGCTGGCGACCGGCTCCGTGAGCTACCGCTGCGTCTTTCTCGACCTGCCCGGCGTGGGCCTGCAGACGCACTGCTACGCGCCCATGGGCGTGGACCTGCGCACGCGATGGTCCGTCAGCGGCGGCGGCGGCGGCGGCGGCAGCAGCGCGCCCGGCGAGGAGGCGCGAGAGCAGGTGGAGCTCGGCATCGACGATGCGCCGACCCCTGCGGGGCTGTATCTTCATGAGGATACGGAGCTCCGGTGCAGCGTCATCATGACGGCTTTTGTCAAGAAGACGCTCAAGGGCGCGCACAAGAGGCTCGTGGAGCGGCTGGCGCAGCGCGCGGTGGGCGGGCTGCGGGAGGAGGATGAGCGCGGGGACGGGGAGCAGGGGGCGAGGAAGGAGGAGGAGGAGGAGGTTGGGCGTGGTGAGAGGGAAGAGGAGAAGGGAAAAGCATGGGTGAGCAGCTAATCATGTTCAGAGTGAGGCGGAGACGGGCCGGCGGGTGACGGCGGCGGCGACTGCCGTGGAAGCTCTCGGGAGATGCGAATTATTCAGCACCACCAAGGGCATCGCGGTACAAAACAGAACTCTGCGGTAGAGACTGGGCGGAAATTGTCGAACGGCATGTAGGTCGATGGCGGGAATAACGACTACGGCGGCCAGCACCACCACCACCACCACCCTCCACAGCACCATGAAGCTGGTGTATATCACGGTGCCGCCAAGCTGCCGTGAGCAGCCTCTCCGGGAAGCTGTCCGTTGCTGTATTATTTTCAAGCAAAGACTCGGTATAACTACTAGCGTTCTAAAGGTGTAATCTTTTGTTTCTCAGCCTTGCCCAGCCACCATACAGTCACATGTCCACGAAGCGATGCAAAAAAAACACCCATGTAAGAAGAAAAAATAGGTATTATGTTGCGCATCTCGGTATTTCATCCGAGAAGCGGTAAAAGTTGAAACACCAAAACTATCCCCCCAACTCCCAACCCATGTTCTTTTCCAAGTACAAGCTGCGCCGTCTTGATCGTAAGAACTCCTGAACAAATAAAATAAAAACCCTCGACACAAAGCCCAGCACCAGGCCCCCCCCCCGCTGCTCTGTACACCTCAAGGCAAGGCGTACGTTGAAGAGCGAGTGATGGACCCTCCCCTGTGCAATTATCGAGGGGGTAAATAAAATGTGCTTATATTACATTAATGTAGTCTTGTTGTCCCCAAGGCTTGAAAAAAAAGGAAGAAAAAAAGGTAATTGCGTGATTCTTTGCCATGACTCCAATGCCTCTAGAGAAAGAGATGGATGGACAAAATTGCTTACAGGGCAATGGCGGCAGCGGCAATGGCACCGGCAAAGGCCATGCCGTAGGCGGCAGCGTTCTGGCCGGCGCCGGCGACGACGGGAACAACCGGCGTGGTGGGCGAGGGAGCATTGTTGCCGCTCTGGTTGGCATTGTTGTAAGCGTTATTGCCAGCGTTGTTACCAGCGTTGTTTCCGGCGTTGTTTCCGGCGTTGTTTCCGGCGTTGTCACCAGGTACATTGTTGACGGGGCCGGGGCCGTAGGTTGGAAGCGTAGTAGGGAGCGCAGGGATCTGAAAGAAAAAAACCATCCATTAGCATCTCTGATCGAGCCATCAGGCACGCAAAGTATTCCCGCGCAAACTTGTCTCCACGTACAGTCTTGGTGACGGTGCAGGGGCAGTCGGTAATGGTGTAGGTGCAGGCCTCGGTGACGGTGTAAGTCTTGTGGTTGACGGTCAGGTGCGTGGGCTCCGGGCAGTAGGTCGTGTATTTGTCAACGACCTCGGTGACGGTGGTCCAGGTTCCGTTGTGGTGGTGGGCCTGCACGGCAGCGACGGCGGCAAGAGTGAGAGCGAGAGCCTTGGAGAACATCTTGAATATGTTTGAGTATATAAGGATTAAAAAAAGTAAATCTGTGATGGAGAGAGCGAGGGACTTGGAGTGAAGTTGTGATGAAGAGAGGAGAAAGAGGTTGGGGAAAGGGAACAGGGAAACATTGTGCCAGCTTTATATGTCGAAACAGATAAAATGAGATCGGAGTGATTTCTCCTCTCTTGTTGGTTTGAGGCTACATTGACGCACAAACACGCATGTACTGCCAAACCAGAAATGAACAACAACGGGATCGCGTCTCTTGCAAGAGCCCACATCCCACCATCCCACGGCAAAATGCGCATCATGGGGGAACAAGCTCGCAAAGGGCCAAGCCGACACGGATCGGAAAACGACAAGACATACAAGAGGACCAGCTGCGGGAGGGCTGCTTCTTCATTCCGAAGGCCCGGCAATAACAACAAACAATAAGATATTGCGGTGGAAAGAGCCAGCATATGATCCTACTCCCGTCTGGGGTCGGGGCTCCTCATAAGGATCCTCATAAGGATGAAACTCTACGCGCCTCTTTCTACAAGACAAAAAAGAGTTCAATTTGGTTGGGTCTGGCAGGCATCATTACAGGCGCGCTCGAGGCCTCAACTTACGGCGCGGGTGCTTCCTCCGGAATGCTAGCCCGGCGATGGCCCCGCTTTTCCCGGCGGGACCTCCATTCCGGCCGCAAATTAAGACGGCGTGTCAGCGGGGACTGTCTCTCCTCCGCTCTCCCCCAACGTGCTGCCTTAAAAACCTGCCTGTTTGTCTTTTCCTTTAATCTTCGTATATCTTGCAACAAATTGGATCACGGGTGATCGCCTCTGCTTATTCTACTGTGCTTGGTCGGAAACAAACAAAAAACAATACCCGACAAGCAATGGGGCGGGCCCGCCATGGACGGCAGCCCCCAACATTTTGTCAGCGTTTGCTGCATGGCAATCTCGTCTTGTCCTTCCCTATCAAGTAACAAAGAAAATCGGATCACTTCCGTTTTCTTCCCCGATATAGAGGTGTAGAGATCATGCAAAGAGACAAAGCTCGTGCACTTGACGCACGGGTTCGCGACAAGCCTAAAATCTAGGCCCTTCTCGTTGCTCTCTCTGTCTCTGCACAACGCCCACCACATTCAAGGCAAGCACGAGAATCCGTTTTGGAACAATCTCTTTCGGCCTGTTTCTTTGAGACTGAGGCACCAAAATTCGCGACAAGCTTTTCTTTCCTCCGTTCGCGCTCGCTTCCCGCAAGTCTCGCTTCTCGGGTTCTAGCTCCCCCTCGCCCTGAGACCCTGTCGCAGCTGCTGGCCAGGCGACGCTGAATCCAATGACCAAGCCAGGCAGCAGGCTCTTGCGTCTCATTCCACAGTCGATCGAAATTCACAGTCATCATGCTGAGCAGCCTGTAAAGTAAATCTTGAAATCCAATTTCTTAATGTGCATTAGTTAGTTTTTCCCTCATGTCTCGGACCAATATTTTCCTCCCTTAATTCAGCTGACGCTTTCCTTCTAGTTATGCATGACAAGTATAACAAAGAAACCATATTTTGTATGTAGAAAATTTAAGAAACGTCTAATAAAGCGACACCTGATTTCTTCATTGTAGCAAATCTTACTGCAGCAAGAACACATAGTGTGCAAGAATAAAGCTCTTCCAAAGTAGCATCATTTTAGTTGTTTCAACATGCTCTCTATGCTAATCCGGGTGGTTTCTGCAAAGTCCTTCATTCACTGCTTGCTCTCGGGTAGTAGGCACCAACATACTGTTCTTGATGTCTGGTCAAATCATCCCTGGCGTGGGCATCTTCATCCATCCCTAGCGGTATTCTGCATACCAGTAGCCAGTGTCCGAGTGGGACTGAAAATACTCAGTCACAGCTAAGAAAAGCGCGTCAAAACGCCAAAAATGGCATGTAAAATATATAAAAAGAGTATTGAAACTGAAATGAAGCGCAGCAAATGCAAAAACACCAGTAAATGCAACACAAATCGTGTGGTGGAATCTAGTATTGGTATCAAACGATGCCGCCCAGTTTGCACAAAAAGACGAAAAAGGTAAGAGTGGCGCCTTGAGAAAATCAAAATAATATGTGCCCAAATTATAGACATATAATGGTGGCGTTGGCTTCGTGGGAAAGACCAAAACTTGGTTTGTGGTGAAATGAGGGTGGCCTCGAACGCGGAGTGGGCGTCGTGTCTAAGAACTAGCCGCCCTTGCTTTGGCCTTGCTGGACACAAAACTACAGGGGCTTCATTGTGTGGCCACGCTCCAATTAATTTCGATTCGATCGGCTTTGGCTCCGCTCGGGTGCCCGGCCAAGGTCGGCATCGAAATTTCGCAATTGCTGCTCATATTTGGCATTCCGTAGGAACTTTGGCACCGAGTCGCTGGCCATGAGCTTGAACACCGCATTCTGGGCATCTTCAAACAGCGCCGTCACCTCCTCAAGCGTCTCAATCATGGCGACATCTTGGCCAACAGCCTTGGTCATGCGCGTCGCGAGGTTGTTGCGGAGCTGGTGGTCAATGTTGAGCTCGCAGGGCGAACCGGGCGCCAGAAATGCATTGTAGATGCCATAAGCCTGGGCCATGATTTCCTTGATGCTGTCCATCGAGTTGGCATTGGGCGACTTCTTGGCCGCGCGAATGCCGCTTTTGCAGGCGTGGACAAACTCATCCACATCCTTGTAAAAGGACAAGTTCTCCTCGCAATGGGTCTCATCCAGGTTCTCGCGGAACAGCAGACGTAGGGCGGGGTCGTTGAGGATCTTGTCTAGACGCTGCGTGTTTGAATCTCTCGTGATGCCGTTGCGCTGTGAACCTGTGCCGGCCTCGCTCTCTGACGCACGACCTCGGGAGCCGGCGCCGGAAAGAATGTCCTTGCCGCGCTGCGTTACCTGGTAGATGGCGTGCTTGGTGGGTTGGAACAGATTGTGGCTGGGTATTTGAGAGAGGTAGGCGCGGTCCTGGGTGAGGGCCTCAATGAGGTCGTATTGGACGAACAAGCTGGCAATCTCGATGGTCTCGCGTCGGTCGACAATGGTCGAGCAGTCCATCAGCCAATCCGTGGTCGCGCGGCCGGTAAACGTGTTTTGATATGTTCTTCCGTTGACCTTGCGCTCAGCAGCCATCTTGACACCAGTGAGACCATCCTGGTAATCGTGCAGCGAGTCCGAGTCGGCAGCTGCTACGCTCGACTTGATGTTGCGGCTTTCAGACCCCATGAATCTGCGAAATATGACCTCGACGGTGCCCCAGTCGCTGATGAGCTTGTCACTTTGCAGGTCGCGCTCGAGAATGACCAATTGGAGGTTGCTGGTGGTAGCCAGCTCGCCGACCTGTTTCTGTTGAATGCCGTTTCTAGCGCAGAAACGATTCAGGATGGCAACCCCCTTGGGTGTCAACTGCCAGACGCCACCCTTCATCGTGTAGACCTGCTGGTACTTGCCGTCGGCAGACTCAATGAAGCGAGCCTCGACAAAGCGCTGGCAGATGGAGCGGGCCATGTCCTTGGCCATGGAGAATGTGGTGGTTGTTGTGGTAGTAACGATTCTTGAGGGATCCTTTGGGTCAGGCATGCGGTTGGACTGAGAGAATTTCAGAGAACCGAGGTTATTGATGGCATCTTCAGAGAGGAAGGTGTATTCGACCTTGCTTAGTCGTACTCGGTGCGCAGAGAGGGGCAGGAGGCTGACAATCAAGGTAGAGAAGAGATCTTTGAAATCCTGCGGCACAAGGTTAGCATTAATCAATAGGCGAAGAGGTAACCAAGCGCTAGATATGTGTCAATTGTAATAGCATGGAGCATTATATGCCATTGGCCAAGATGGACGAGTTCAACAAAAGGATATATGTTCCCGTATGCACATCCAGCCGCCCAGCAGCAAACAAAGGACGCGAATCAGGTAAAAGGAATAGTTCATACCCTAGTATAAGGCCGGTCATCATCGGTCATGCGCAGTAAGCGCGAAGAAGTTTGGTGCATCTTGGGATCGTTGCGACGTAGTCTGATGGGGAGGGGTAAAGAGGCGTCGGTATCGACGTAAGCCTGCGCGGGCGGATTGCGGCGAGCGAGAGTGTACTCGCCGGAGGAAAGAGAATCGGTAGAGGGGCTCTTGGAGGGCGATGGAGTAGAGGTAGAGGCGCTGGTCAGGGGAGCGAGCGAATCGCCTTCAGTAAACCTGGCGAGGCCCGGGTTGGAGTGGCGGGGGCGTAGGATGGGCTCAGAGATGCTGGCAAAGGCGCTCTGTGTACGATCTTTGGCGCGAGACAGAATTCCGCCGGAGCGCTGGGAGTAAATTCGGGGCAGGGAGCTCGTAGAGACGGACGAGGCGTGGTGAGAGCGGCGAGTGGATTGGCCGAGGTGGGGGAGCTGTTCAGAGGGACGATTGTCGACGGAAGACCGTGGTGTAGCTGCCGACGAGCGAGACTGACGGTGCCGATCGTTTTCGTGATGGGATGTGGACGGGATACTGTTCGCAGACGGAGTCTTGGGGGATGTTATCGAGTCGGTAAACTTGTGGTTCAACAAAGCTGCCATCTGACGAGGGACAAGACAAGAAGCGTAAGCAAAAACGGTTCAAGACCAGTCGCGGCGTTTGTTTCCCTCTGGTGTTGGAGGTAAAGAGGCTATGCGGGCGGGCGGAGGGAGGGACAAAGAGGCAATGGGAGGAACGGCCAAGATGTAAAGAACAAACGAAGAAAAGCGTATTAAAAGAAGAAAGAAGAAACTAGCGGCGTAGATTTCTTTAGAAGGATGGGTAGAGTAGCAGGCCGGCGGGAGAAATAAAAAAGACGAATGAGACGGTAGCGCAAGTTGGAGCGTGAGTGGGTGGATTGAAGAAGAGGGGGGAGTGAAGAAAGATGGGGGAGTGTGGTAGATAGGCTTTTTGGCTGTAGGTGTATTTGTAGTGAGTGAGGGGAGGTGTGTGAGAATGAGCTAGCAAATGGAGAGAGGGCTGACAGAAAAGCGTGAGCGAGCAAAAGGGTCAAAAGAGATGGAAAAGAAAAAAAGCAAGTAGAAGTACAAGGTACAAGTGGGACAGCCCCTTGGCAGTTGTGTCTTTTTTTTTCCTTGATCCTTTCTTTTCCATTTTGCCCGCTTCTGGGGCGCTGGAACAAGCATGCCCAGTAAGCCCACTGGGGCCAAGCTCAAGTCTGCAGCGCAGAGAGCAGCCCGGACCAAGAGGTACGAGGTAACTACAGTTGCAAGCCTCCTCCAGCATGGAAGAAATAAGTGGACAAGGGAGAAGGAGAGGGGCGAAATGCCGGGTGGAGTCTCCTGCTTGCATGTATCTGTGACACAGGTGACAGAAGGGCAGGGGCGTCTGTCTGCCAGTCAGGAAATGGTTAGATGCATGAGCACGAATATGCATCCAACGAGGCGCCACTGCAGAAGATGTGCACTGGCGCTGCATCTGTCCGTCAAGGGCCAGAAAAGCCACGAGGGAAAGGCAAACGCACCCACTCGGCACCCTTGAGCGTTTAGCTTGCGTACACCCCCCTGCCACCCCCCTCTCACCCCTCTTTCTTTCCCCCTTCCTCCTTCTGGCCCCGCCGAGGCCTCTGACTCGGGACTTGTGGCAGGGGACTTGGGACGTGCGCGCGCCGGGCAATTAAACAGACAAGAATCTGACGAGGAAGCTGCCGAGATGGCCAGATGGTAAATAGAAGAAGAAGCAGAAAGAGAAGGAGACGTGTTGTGTATGTGTGCCTTGGTTCCTGAAAGTCCGTGCGGGTGCATTGTGCCGAAGCAAAAATGCACAATTGCTTTTGCCGGATTGCGGTGCACTGTTTGAGTGACCAAGCCGGGGGCAGCAGCTATTTGGAACCCAGCACGGCTCAGCACAGCGCGCGCACAGTCAATGGGCGGAGCGGCCTCTGTAACTGGAATTGGCAAGTAGGCCGGCCGTAGCCCTTTCACAACGACAATCCCATCATCGCACCAAAGCCGACGGGATTGCCCTGGTAGAGATTGCCCCGGATCTAGGCATGCACCTCAATCTGGCCAAATCGTCACTGTTTTCCCTTTTTCTCAATGCCCTCAGCACCATAAGGTCTTTACAAGTGACGAGTCACTGCGTTCCTGCTTTGGCTGCATGATCGGAGAGCCGAGCGGCTGGGTTGAAGTGTGGCAGTTTAGCGACCATGTGGTATGGCTCAACTACCCCAGTGGCAGGTCAAAACGTGCCAAACATGTGCGTTTACTGGATGACCACGCGAGCAGCCACCAGCCACGCCACCAGCCACTAGGCAGATGGCCAGATGGTAGGTGCAAGTTCCATGCTGTACACCACATGCCATACTGGTAGCAACGGTCGACAGCGGCCGAGCTCAGGAGCAAATAAAAGGTTACCAAAACTCAAGTTGGAACTGGTCTCGAATCTTGGGCCCTTTTTTTTCGTCCCAAAACCAAAAGTCAAGATTCTGGTGCTGCCGTTCATCCCGTCGCCGTTTGCGGGAAGTACCCTTGTATCACCAACTGCCATGTGTCGAGCCCATGCAAGTACCTAGGTACTTTGACAGTGTACTGCGAGACTGTGGCTGTTGTATGTACCTCGGTCCAGCCTCTGACCTTGGCCGCTGAACTTGGAGCACCGACTGGAATGCGCTGCGGCTCCACCATGACTATTTGCGTCAAGAATCTGGCTGTTTCATCGACAGTTGCTCTGATTGTACAACTGCCTATTGCATGCCAATTTGACTCCTGCTTTGTGCCGCTGATGCCTTTGAGTATTTGACAGCGAGGGGAAAAAAGTATGCGTCTGTGGCTGCTGGAAGCCACAGCAGAGCGCGTTTGCACACCCGGCGCTCAGCCACTAGTCCCAACGCCGCCAGGTACCTGTAACTTTGGCTGTCCAGTGCCAATGGAGATTCCTCGTCTCGAGCAGTAAGGCATTACTGGATTGTGTGCGTGATCTTCTGCTCTCGACTTGCTCCTGAAACAGACCGTATCCCGTACTTGCAGGACCGTACACCGTCCCCAAGCTGTCATTGCAGCCTGCGCCGGGGCCAGACCCACGGTGCCGAACTCCAGCGCTCACATGCCCCAGCACCCACTGCAATGGACCCCTCTGCGCTCACATGAGCCTCACGCACCGCTTGGTACCGCCTCATCAACCAGACGGCTCTTCTTGCCAAAAGAAATTAAGAAAAAAAAAAAAATAGAAACTGAGGAATTACGACACTCGTCGCCGCTGGCCCTTCATTTCACTTCAATTTGAAGCACTGACCTCAAGTGAGCTATTGAAACCGCTGCACTGATCTCTCCGCGGCCGCGCTCACCTTGCGACCCAACTGAATGGGTCCCAAGACATGGAAGGCATTCTAGAAGCATCAAGGAAGGAATTCAAGAGGGGCGATAACAAGCAAAAATAAAAGAACACGGGGAAAAGAAAGGAAATAATCATGCATGTCGGGTTTCGGCTCTGACAATAAGAAAACGGGGATTAATATCCTTTTTCCATACCTTTTCTATTATTGCCAGGGGCAATTGCTCAAGACACTCCTGTTTCGGTGACGCCGGGAAGGAAGCAGGGTACCGCTGCTGCGGTACGGAAAGAGAGAAACAAGTGACTATGATATCTCCCAACAATGTTAGCCGGGATTCATGGCTCGTGCAAAGACAGGCCAGGGCGACGGTATCGCCGCTCACTTCCCTGCCCCGTCCCATCTCACTAATCTGTCAGAGTCAGGAACTTCCACGCGACGACCCTGCAACCCGTATTTGGGTAGCAGCAGGGACGTATTGGTCCCATTGTTGTTGAGACGACGCGGGGCCGAGGCGAGAGGGGGGTGGGCAATTTGGACAACAATAAGGGTCCACGGTTCATCGTGCTCACCGAGAAATTCAATGTTGGCCGAAATCTATTGCATGCCGGGATTCAGTCGTCACTTTTTTCGTTGCCTTTGCGTCGTGTCTCCTGAGTCAGTACACCGGAAGTGACCGAAAAAGAGCAGGTCAAGAATTGGCAAATTGCCAAGGTCGTAACAACAATGGAGGAATATCAGTCGACTTTCCGAGAGCAAGGGTCCCGGTATAAGGAGCCGACGTCGCACCAGCCACGGCCGAGAATGCAGTCCTTCCAAACGTGGGCGTGGCTCGGCCGGATGAGTCGCAGTGTTGTAATTGGCTTGGTCCAGAGAGCGCAGTCTTGCGCCTGCGTATCTTGCTCAACGCCTTCGGAGCAATAACCGTAAACAGTTGCTGGACTGGTCGATTGACGCCTCTTTGAGTTCCAAGTAGACAATCAGAGAAATTCGAGCGGTGACCTCGCTGTAATAACTTGTCTTGTATATGGTCTTGGCAAAGGTTCGCCCTCCAATAAAGACGCTTTGTCGGCTCGACTCGTCTCAGCCAAGACTGAAACCACTTTCGGGATAGAATGTCTTTCAATCCGCTCTGACAAACAATGCCTGTGGTTGCTGACGCAGCGACTGTTCAAGGTGAATGCGGCGGTTTCTCAGCAAAATTGATGCCACGCGGCAGTTGCAACGATCCTGTAGCGTTCCTGCTTTGCTTGTACCACATATATGTGCGTAATTTCGGGGCCAGCAAGTCCGGGGGGGTCTTTTGTGCTCGTCGGGACCACAAAAATATCTAAATCACTTGCAGAGCCGACCTCGTGGTAGTGATTGTCGGGGGCGGCGGCGATACTTGGGCGGGAGATTGGATCTGTCAAGGGTGGTAAAAAAGGAAAACATAGGGCTGCCTGCATATTTAAACTACCAAACAACTAGTAGAATATCAGCGAGGCGCGCGCACGCACTCACACACACACACGCACACACACACACGTACGAACACACGGACAATGCCTACATGTGTCACCACATGTGGCTCGCAACATCACCCCCTACGCCACCAACTAGTCGGACGCAGACGCGGGGAATTACAATGCAAATAAGCAGAGAGGGAGGGCGTATCTTCGTTCCTCTCTTGCTCAACATGTCATGACATCTTGCCACCGAAACGCAGCTCTTGCGTTGCTAGCAAGGCACCCCCGGGTAAGAGATGTGGGAGGACGGGGGGGGCCCCGGCAATTGAAGCAATAATTAGAATAAAGATTGACACATTCACGTGGCGTAGGCGTGCTTGCGTGCGTCTGTGTGTTTTGTGTATCCAGACACCTGTGACGCTCGCTGCAGGCCGGATGAGACGGGGGGGAAGGGGGGGGCAGCACACGCCAACCAGTTGCCAGTCAGTGGCAGCCCAGTTCAAGCATGTTCTCAACGGCTGCACATTGGCATGACGACGGACGGAAATTTCTTGGCAAAACCTGGTCGCGGACAAGGCGTTCCAAGTGGCACTGTCTCACGCAAATATATGACGAGAGAAAGTAAACAGATACCGTGACAGGGGAAAAAACGACACAATCCAGAAAGCAAACAAGAACATGGTTTGCAAGCCCACTTCGCTCCTTCTAGCCCTTCTTCCGCGTATCCCTTCTATTTCACCTATCGCCGCTTACACCCACACGCCTCCACACGACAGGAGATTACCGGTCAAGTAGAAAAAAGAAAAAAGAAGCTGCTTCATAT